AGTGGGTAGGGGATGTGTAGATCAAGAGTTTATATTGAAGCATATATGTGAACAGTATTTAGATAAAGGTAGGGAAGTTTTTATTGCATTTATGGATTTAGAAAAGGCATATGATAGAGTGGACAGGGGAGCAAAATGCTGTAAAGAGTTTTTATGATGATAGTGAAGCTCAGGTTAGGGTGTGCAGAAGAGAGGTTGGGTTGTATGGTTGGGTTATTATTGAAAGAATTAGAGGTAAAACAGAATGTAGGATTGCGGATGAGCAAGGAGGTTTTAGAGTGGGTAGGGGATGTGTAGATCAAGAGTTTATATTGAAGCATATATGTGAACAGTATTTAGATAAAGGTAGGGAAGTTTTTATTGCATTTATGGATTTAGAAAAGGCATATGATAGAGTGGACAGGGGAGCAAAATGCTGTAAAGAGTTTTTATGATGATAGTGAAGCTCAGGTTAGGGTGTGCAGAAGAGAGGGAGACTACTTCCCGGTAAAAGTAGGTCTTAGACAGGGATGTGTAATGTCACCATGGATGTTTAATATATTTATAGATGGGATTGTAAAAGAAGTAAATGCTAGGGTGTTCGGGAGAGGGGTGGGATTAAATTATGGGAAATCAAATACAAAATGGGAATTGACAGTTGCTTTTTGCTGATGATACTGTGCTTATGGGAGATTCTAAAGAAAAATTGCAAAGGTTAGTGGACGAGTTTGGGAGTGTGTAAAGATAGAAAGTTGAAAGTGAACATAGAAATGAGTAAGGTGATGAGGGTATCAAATGATTTAGATAAAGAAAAATTGGATATCAAATTGGAGAGGAATAGTATGGAAGAAGTGAATGTTTTCAGACATTTGGGAGTTGATGTGTCAGAGAATGGATTTATGAAGGATGAGGTTAACCACAGAATTGATGAAGGAAGTGTAAAAAGTTATTCAAATATATTTATTTATACATTAAAATAAAATGAAAATTTTTTATTATTTTATTATCACACCGGCCGATTCCCACCAAGGCAGGGTGGCCCGAAAAAGAAAAACTTTCACCATCATTCACTCCATCACTGTCTTGCCAGAAGGGTGCTTTACACTACAGTTTTTAAACTGCAACATTAACACCCCTCCTTCAGAGTGCAGGCACTGTACTTCCCATCTCCAGAACTCAAGTCCGGCCTGCCGGTTTCCCTGAATCCCTTCATAAATGTTACTTTGCTCACACTCCAACAGCACGTCAAGTATTAAAAACCATTTGTCTCCATTCACTCCTATCAAACACGCTCACGCATGCCTGCTGGAAGTCCAAGCCCCTCGCACACAAAACCTCCTTTACCCCCTCCCTCCAACCCTTCCTAGGCCGACCCTACCCCGCCTTCCTTCCACTACAGACTGATACACTCTTGAAGTCATTCTGTTTCGCTCCATTCTCTCTACATGTCCGAACCACCTCAACAACCCTTCCTCAGCCCTCTGGACAACAGTTTTGGTAATCCCGCACCTCCTCCTAACTTCCAAACTACGAATTCTCTGCATTATATTCACACCACACATTGCCCTCAGACATGACATCTCCACTGCCTCCAGCCTTCTCCTCGCTGCAACATTCATCACCCACGCTTCACACCCATATAAGAGCGTTGGTAAAACTATACTCTCATACATTCCCCTCTTTGCCTCCAAGGACAAAGTTCTTTGTCTCCACAGACTCCTAAGTGCACCACTCACTCTTTTTCCCTCATCAATTCTATGATTCACCTCATCTTTCATAGACCCATCCGCTGACACGTCCACTCCCAAATATCTGAATACGTTCACCTCCTCCATACTCTCTCCCTCCAATCTGATATTCAATCTTTCATCACCTAATCTTTTTGTTATCCTCATAACCTTACTCTTTCCTGTATTCACCTTTAATTTTCTTCTTTTGCACACCCTACCAAATTCATCCACCAATCTCTGCAACTTCTCTTCAGAATCTCCCAAGAGCACAGTGTCATCAGCAAAGAGCAGCTGTGACAACTCCCATTTGTGTGTGATTCTTTATCTTTTAACTCCACGCCTCTTGCCAAGACCCTCGCATTTACTTCTCTTACAACCCCATCTATAAATATATTAAACAACCACGGTGACATCACACATCCTTGTCTAAGGCCTACTTTTACTGGGAAAAAATTTCCCTCTTTCCTACATACTCTAACTTGAGCCTCACTATCCTCGTAAAAACTCTTCACTGCTTTCAGTAACCTACCTCCTACACCATACACTTGCAACATCTGCCACATTGCCCCCCTATCCACCCTGTCATACGCCTTTTCCAAATCCATAAATGCCACAAAGACCTCTTTAGCCTTATCTAAATACTGTTCACTTATATGTTTCACTGTAAACACCTGGTCCACACACCCCCTACCTTTCCTAAAGCCTCCTTGTTCATCTGCTATCCTATTCTCCGTCTTACTCTTAATTCTTTCAATTATAACTCTACCATACACTTTACCAGGTACACTCAACAGACTTATCCCCTATAATTTTTGCACTCTCTTTTATCCCCTTTGCCTTTATACAAAGGAACTATGCATGCTCTCTGCCAATCCCTAGGTACCTTACCCTCTTCCATACATTTATTAAATAATTGCACCAACACTCCAAAACTATATCCCCACCTGCTTTTAACATTTCTATCTTTATCCCATCAATCCGGCTGCCTTACCCCCTTTCATTTTACCTACTGCCTCACGAACTTCCCCCACACTCACAACTGGCTCTTCCTCACTCCTACAAGATGTTATTCCTCCTTGCCCTATACACGAAATCACAGCTTCCCTATCTTCATCAACATTTAACAATTCCTCAAAATATTCCTTCCATCTTCCCAATACCTCTAACTCTCCATTTAATAACTCTCCTCTCCTATTTTTAACTGACAAATCAATTTGTTCTCTAGGCTTTCTTAACTTGTTAATCTCACTCCAAAACTTTTTCTTATTTTCAACAAAATTTGTTGATAACATCTCACCCACTCTCTCATTTGCTCTCTTTTTACATTGCTTCACCACTCTCTTAACCTCTCTCTTTTTCTCCATATACTCTTCCCTCCTTGCATCACTTCTACTTTGTAAAAACTTCTCATATGCTAGCTTTTTCTCCCTTACTACTCTCTTTACATCATCATTCCACCAATCGCTCCTCTTCCCTCCTGCACCCACTTTCCTGTAACCACAAACTTCTGCTGAACACTCTAACACTACATTTTTAAACCTACCCCATACCTCTTCGACCCCATTGCCTATGCTCTCATTAGCCCATCTATCCTCCAATAGCTGTTTATATCTTACCCTAACTGCCTCCTCTTTTAGTTTATAAACCTTCACCTCTCTCTTCCCTGATGCTTCTATTCTCCTTGTATCCCATCTACCTTTTACTCTCAGTGTAGCTACAACTAGAAAGTGATCTGATATATCTGTGGCCCCTCTATAAACATGTACATCCTGAAGTCTACTCAACAGTCTTTTATCTACCAATACATAATCCAACAAACTACTGTCATTTCGCCCTACATCATATCGTGTATACTTATTTATCCTCTTTTTCTTAAAATATGTATTACCTATAACTAAACCCCTTTCTATACAAAGTTCAATCAAAGGGCTCCCATTATCATTTACACCTGGCACCCCAAACTTACCTACCACACCCTCTCTAAAAGTTTCTCCTACTTTAGCATTCAAGTCCCCTACCACAATTACTCTCTCACTTGGTTCAAAGGCTCCTATACATTCACTTAACATCTCCCAAAATCTCTCTCTCTCCTCTGCATTCCTCTCTTCTCCAGGTGCATACACGCTTATTATGACCCACTTCTCGCATCCAACCTTTACTTTAATCCACATAATTCTTGAATTTACACATTCATATTCTCTTTTCTCCTTCCATAACTGATCATTTAACATTACTGCTACCCCTTCCTTTGCTCTAACTCTCTCAGATACTCCAGATTTAATCCCATTTATTTCCCCCCACTGAAACTCTCCTACCCCCTTCAGCTTTGTTTCGCTTAGGGCCAGGACATCCAACTTCTTTTCATTCATAACATCAGCAATCATCTGTTTCTTGTCATCGCACTACATCCACGCACTTTTAAGCAACCCAGTTTTATAAATTTTTTTCTTCTTCTCTTTTTTAGTAATTGTATACAGGAGAAGGGGTTTTACTAGCCCATTGCCCCCGGCTTTTTAGTCGCCTCATACGACACGCATGGCTTACGGAGGAAAGATTCTTTTCCACTTCCCCATGGACAATAGAAGAAATAAAAAAGAGCAAGAGCTATTTAGAAAAAGGGGGAAAAACCTAGATGTATGTATATATATATATGCATGTGCGTGTCTGTGAAGTGTGACCAAAGTGTAAGTAGGAGTAGCAAGATATCCCTGTTATCTTAGCGTGTTTATGAGGACAGAAAAAAAAACCAGCAATCCTACCATCATGCAAAACAGTTACAGGTTTTTGTTTCACAGTCATCTGGCAGGACGGTAGTACTTCCCTGGGTGGTTGCTGTCTACCAACCTACTACCTAAAAAAAATGAAAATTATTATTTAAATACAGTATTAATATAAAATTTATTACAGTATCCCTAATAATGTAAAATTTCCCAGAAAGTGTCTTCATACACTGATATGATAAAAATTATACATGTAGTGGTAATTAAAATGTATGTGAAAGAACACTTTAAAACTATTTAAATACTCCCAGTTATTTTAGAGGGCACACTGGGATGTAAAGGTTTTAACACTAGTTCTCCGAGACAATCCAAGTCGTTTAAACCCAGTATTTTTATTAATAATGAGAGATGATCTAGTTTTCAAATCTGAACTACTGTTCCCTGGAGACTGCAGTAGAGGACTTCTAAAGGGTGTTTTAACTAAATTTTTTGTAGAAATTTTCAGAGGAAGACTTAGTGTTAGCAGAGTTCAATCTAAAACCGCTTTAGATTTTTCTTTGACAATAGTGCTTTAGCTAGTTGGTTTTCCCTTTTGAACAATGAGGGGGCTGCAAGGAGTCACATTGTAGGGGCTTCTAAGTGAAGTTATAGTAGGGCTTGGAGGAACTGACAGGGAAGACAAATTTTTCAGATCATTGTTCTCGATCGCAGATGATGTCACCGTCTCGATAGGAGTAGGTATTTGTATAGGTTTGGGTGACTTTGATTTACTATTCTTCAATTGTTTTTTCTCTTTATTTTTCTTCTTCTTTTTCTTCTTAGGAGATAATGCAAAATCACTTCCTTCTGAAAAGTCTGAGTCAGGATCAGCATCTATGCTGAATCCGTCAAAACTATCCGAGTCAGTATCTGTAATGAAGGGTACATAATAAGTACAATTAAACTTTTCAATCACCAGGTCTCATTACAATATTTAGTTATATTACTACCTATATTTTGTTTTCAATTTAATAAGAAAATGTTGGCCTACAAATATATATATAATTACTTTTTTATTATTTGCACATAATACATAGTTGTACAAAGAAATATAGTGATTGGGTGTACAGGCCAAAAGCCCCTTGTATGCAAATACTGTAGAATCTACAAGTCTATGGTGCTCATCACCTGTTCCTAGGCTGAGGGGCTGATTACCTCGTCTTCCACTGTCTTCCGTATACACTGGACCCCCGGTTAATGATATTTTTTCATTCCAGAAGTATGTTCAGGTGCCAGTACTGACCGAATTTGTTCCCATAAGGAATATTGTGAAGTAGATTAGTCCATTTCAGACCCCCAAACATACACGTACAAACGCACTTACATAAATACACTTACATAATTGGTCGCATTGGGAGGTGATCGTTAAGCAGGGGTCCACTGTACATATATTTCTACAGTCTTCATATTATGTCCATGTATTGTATTGATAAAGCCATTGGATGACAAAATGTCTACAAACTAAAGATACCCAGATGTTGCACATGCACAAACAGTTTGACATGATTTCCCTCTTTATTTTTTGGTTTATTAATTACAGTAAGGGTAACCAGACTCATGCTCTTAGCAATTTATTTATCTTCCTGCAACATACACAGCTACTAAACAAAAATTCTGGTCCTCATATCTTATATAATTAGAAAGAAAAGTAAAGATGATAAGTGAATAATAAATGTAAGAAGGTACTTAGATTAGTCTAATACCTTAAGATTGATAAGACAGAGAAAATTAACCACATTCTGATCTGTGCTTTGTTTGCAATTATGTTATTGAGATTTTGTGTCATGATGACAGAAAATTACTATTATTATTCTGATATTTATATAAAATATGAATTAAATTCCATGGGCCATTCAGCACAAGATATAGGTAAGGGAAAAAATCCTATTTTTTTTCTATGAACTGGCCATATTCCACCAAGGCAGGGTGACTTAAAAGAAAAACAAAGGTTTTTCTTTTTAAATTTAGTAGTTTATACAGAAAAAGGGGTTAAAATCCTAAAAACTTATACAACCTCTCCTCACTTAATGACGGGGTTCCTTTCCTAAGAGTAGGTCGGTAAGCAAAATAGTCATTAAGCAAGGAGCATACTATACTGGTAGTGGGTTTGTGTCAACCATCTTTAGATATTTCTTAATATCACATTTGCACCATTTGTAACATATCTAGTACATTTTTAAATATTTATACAATAGTGTACTGTATACTGTAATAAACAGAATAGAGGAAATCAGCTCAAATATACATTACTTAGGTTTGCATACTGGTTGGAGAGCTGGTCATAAGTCCAAGTGGTTGGTAAACAAGTACATCGCTAAGTGAGGAGCAGCAGTATTAAATAAGCTTTTATATTTATCACTCCTGTGACAGGACAGCATGGTACCTCCCTGAATAATTACAGTCTATCAACTTTTGGAATAACCCACTGCACATACCTTCTTTGAATACCACGGTTTTCCTCTGCCTTTTGCTGGTAATACCGGTAGATGTGCTGGGTTGGGAATTTTCATTTTTGCTGCCTGCATTACTCTCAAGCCTCTTCAACTCAAGCAAGTCCATGCTTGTTATTTCTCCAGCTGTATCAGCTTTTGCATTAGTTGATTCGTTGCGAGGAGAAAGTGAACACACTTTGTTTCTTTCATTAGCCTCCTGGTTTTGGAGTGAGCTGCTAAGCTGTGATGTGCTGTGAATTGGTCTTGGAGAGCTTTCTGAGCCAGGCAGTGTAGTACAGGTGGGAGCATCTGTTCTGTATGTTACTTCTTTGTCTACTCTTGTTTTTCTTTGATCTGGTTGAGTCTTAAAATCAGCTACATCTCCAGCAGCAAGTCTTGATATTGCAATGGCAGCTTCCAATTCCCTCTATAAAAATATAAATTTTAATGAAGATACAGCATACATTTACAGAATACTTTTCTTACATATAACCTTAATAATACATAAAAGAAAACATGAATAATAACTGAAGTCTAACTACAGTATTTAGAAAAAATAACTGATGGCACTATATATACAATATACATTAGCAGATTACAGTAAATGCATTGAAAAACATACAGAGAAGGATGACGAGGTAGATCTCCAGTGTTAGAAACCTTTCCTACGAAGATAGACTGAAGGCACTGAATTTACACTCTCTGGAAAGGTGTAGAATTAGGGGGATATGACTGAAGTGTACAACTGGAAAACTGGGATAAATAAAGGATATAAATAATGTGCTGAAAGATATCTAACCAAGGCAGGCCTCACAGCAATGGATTCAAGTTGGACAAATTTAGATTTAGAAAGGATATAGTACAGGCACTCACTTATACAGCAGGTTAAGTTCCAGGCTACTGCTGTATAGCAAAAAATGGCTGTAAAATAAGAGCTTTTTTTTCACCTTCAAATGCATATAAATACCTGATAACATGTTTACACTGTCATATATTAAGTTAACAACAGAACCAGGCCTAAAAAATGCATATAGAGTACACTACATTATTTACCTTAAAATATTTTTGTCCTTAGCTTCTAATGAGTGGTGAATATATTTATTGTAGGAAATCTGAATAAATGAAGAATGGACATAATAGAAAATGGCTGCATTAGTGAAACACCATAAAGCAAAGAGCTGTAAAGCAGGGCCCTCCTGTATAGGAAACCATTGGTTTGGCCACACTATGGATGATTGCAACAAACTTCTAAGTAGCATCACTGAAGCAAGAGAGTTATAACTGCCTAGTAGACTTACTGCAGTGCTCCACTATTATTGTGTTCTTATATAATTTTACATTAATTTCTTTTATCAAAGATTTACCAGCAAATATAATTGTGGATTTTTTTTTTTTTTTCAACAAGTCGGCCGTCTCCCACCGAGGCAGGGTGACCCAAAAAAGAAAGAAAATCCCCCAAAAAGAAAATACTTTCATCATCATTCAACACTTTCACCACACTCACACATTATCACTGCTTTTGCAGAGGTGCTCAGAATACAACAGTTCAGAAGCATATACGTATAAAGATACACAACATATCCCTCCAAACTGCCAATATCCCAAACCCCTCCTTTAAAGTGCAGGCATTGTACTTCCCATTTCCAGGACTCAAGTCCAACTATATGAAAATAAACAGTTTCCCTGAATCCCTTCACTAAATATTACCCTGCTCACACTCCAACAGATCGTCAGGTCCCAAGTATCATTCGTCTCCATTCACTCCTATCTAACACGCTCATGCACGCTTGCTGGAAGTCCAAGCCCTTGTGGAATTTATGAAAACAAAATTTACACAAAAAATTCAGTATTTTGTTTATAACTGAACAAAAATTAAAAAATTCTACTATTGGGAGCTGATAAAAAAATAAGTAAGTTAATAAAACAAGTATCAGCAAAAATTTAGCAAAAGCAAGACTGCAAAACATGGGATATATGTAACAAATTATAAATACTAATAAATGAGCACTGGAAAAGAAAATTAAACAGAAATCAAAGGTAGGACATCACTGCTGAGATCTGACCTAGTAATAAGAAGTCCTATGATGTGGACATTTAAAATTACAACAACCTTTCACCTGATATTTCACAAGAGATTTTGAAACCATAAGACAACTTTAGAGGTAGATCCAAGGAACTGGAGCTACCTGAGAGCTCTTTCCTTGGATCAAACTTAATTGCATATGATAAGTCTATTAAAAATTGATAATGGGCACTTTTACTCTAAATCAATATTTTTTAATGAAAACTATGGGGGATTCATGCATTTTCATTAAAGTAACATTAATTTATGTATTTACAAACATTTTATAGACAGTATTAACTTCTACAAAAGAAGGAATAAATTGGACTTCTATAATTCTACCCAGTACCATTTTATATTATTATTATTATTTTTTTATTATTATCACACTGGCCGATTCCCACCAAGGCAGGGTGGCCCGAAAAAGAAAAACTTTCACCATCATTCACTCCATCACTGTCTTGCCAGAAGGGTGCTTTACACTACAGTTTTTAAACTGCAACATTAACACCCCTCCTTCAGAGTGCAGGCACTGTACTTCCCATCTCCAGGACTCAAGTCTGGCCTGCCGGTTTCCCTGAATCCCTTCATAAATGTTACTTTGCTCACACTCCAACAGCACGTCAAGTATTAAAAACCATTTGTCTCCATTCACTCCTATCAAACACGCTCACGCATGCCTGCTGGAAGTCCAAGCCCCTCGCACACAAAACCTCCTTTACCCCCTCCCTCCAACCCTTCCTAGGCCGACCCCTACCCCGCCTTCCTTCCACTACAGACTGATACACTCTTGAAGTTATTCTGTTTCGTTCCATTCTCTCTACATGTCCGAACCACCTCAACAACCCTTCCTCAGCCCTCTGGACAACAGTTTTGGTAATCCCGCACCTCCTCCTAACTTCCAAACTACGAATTCTCTGCATTATATTCACACCACACATTGCCCTCAGACATGACATCTCCACTGCCTCCAGCCTTCTCCTCGCTGCAACATTCATCACCCATGCTTCACACCCATATAAGAGCGTTGGTAAAACTATACTCTCATACATTCCCCTCTTTGCCTCCAAGGACAAAGTTCTCTGTCTCCACAGACTCCTAAGTGCACCACTCACTCTTTTTCCCTCATCAATTCTATGATTCACCTCATCTTTCATAGACCCATCCGCTGACACGTCCACTCCCAAATATCTGAATACGTTCCCTCCTCCATACTCTCTCCCTCCAATCTGATATTCAATCTTTCATCACCTAATCTTTTTGTTATCCTCATAACCTTACTCTTTCCTGTATTTCACCTTTAATTTTCTTCTTTGCACACCCTACCAAATTCATCCACCAATCTCTGCAGCTTCTCTTCAGAATCTCCCAAGAGCACAGTGTCATCAGCAAAGAGCAGCTGTGACAACTCCCACCCTGTGTGTGATTCTTTATCTTTTAACTCCACGCCTCTTGCCAAGACCCTCGCATTTACTTCTCTTACAACCCCATCTATAAATATATTAAACAACCACGGTGACATCACACATCCTTGTCTAAGGCCTACTTTTACTGGGAAAAAATTTCCCTCTTTTCTACATACTCTAACTTGAGCCTCACTATCCTCGTAAAAACTCTTCACTGCTTTCAGTAACCTACCTCCTACACCATACACTTGCAACATCTGCCACATTGCCCCCCTATCCACCCTGTCATACGCCTTTTCCAAATCCATAAATGCCACAAAGACCTCTTTAGCCTTATCTAAATACTGTTCACTTATATGTTTCACTGTAAACACCTGGTCCACACACCCCCTACCTTTCCTAAAGCCTCCTTGTTCATCTGCTATCCTATTCTCCGTCTTACTCTTAATTCTTTCAATTATAACTCTACCATACACTTTACCAGGTACACTCAACAGACTTATCCCCCTATAATTTTTGCACTCTCTTTTATCCCCTTTGCCTTTATACAAAGGAACTATGCATGCTCTCTGCCAATCCCTAGGTACCTTACCCTCTTCCATACATTTATTAAATAATTGCACCAACCACTCCAAAACTATATCCCCACCTGCTTTTAAACATTTCTATCTTTATCCCATCAATCCCGGCTGCCTTACCCCCTTTCATTTTACCTACTGCCTCACGAACTTCCCCCACACTCACAACTGGCTCTTCCTCACTCCTACAAGATGTTATTCCTCCTTGCCCTATACACGAAATCACAGCTTCCCTATCTTCATCAACATTTAACAATTCCTCAAAATATTCCCTCCATCTTCCCAATACCTCTAACTCTCCATTTAATAACTCTCCTCTCCTATTTTTAACTGACAAATCCATTTGTTCTCTAGGCTTCCTTAACTTGTTAATCTCACTCCAAAACTTTTTCTTATTTTCAACAAAATTTGTTGATAACAGCTCACCCACTCTCTCATTTGCTCTCTTTTACATTGCTTCACCACTCTCTTAACCTCTCTCTTTTCTCCATATACTCTTCCCTCCTTGCATCACTTCTACTTTGTAAAAACTTCTCATATGCAACTTTTTCTCCCTTACTACTCTCTTTTACATCATCATTCCACCAATCGCTCCTCTTCCCTCCTGCACCCACTTTCCTGTAACCACAAACTTTGCTGAACACTCTAACACTACATTTTTAAACCTACCCCATTCCTCTTCGACCCCATTGCCTATGCTCTCATTAGCCCATCTATCCTCCAATAGCTGTTTATATCTTACCCTAACTGCCTCCTCTTTTAGTTTATAAACCTTCACCTCTCTCTTCCCTGATGCTTCTATTCTCCTTGTATCCCATCTACCTTTTACTCTCAGTGTAGCTACAACTAGAAAGTGATCTGATATATCTGTGGCCCCTCGATAAACATGTACATCCTGAAGTCTACTCAACAGTCTTTTATCTACCAATACATAATCCAACAAACTACTGTCATTTCGCCCTACATCATATCGTGTATACTTATTTATCCTCTTTTTCTTAAAATATGTATTACCTATAACTAAACCCCTTTCTATACAAAGTTCAATCAAAGGGCTCCCATTATCATTTACACCTGGCACCCCAAACTTACCTACCACACCCTCTCTAAAAGTTTCTCCTACTTTAGCATTCATGTCCCCTACCACAATTACTCTCTCACTTGGTTCAAAGGCTCCTATACATTCACTTAACATCTCTCTCTCCTCTGCATTCCTCTCTTCTCCAGGTGCATACACGCTTATTATGACCCACTTCTCGCATCCAACCTTTACTTTAATCCACATAATTCTCGAATTTACACATTCATATTCTCTTTTCTCCTTCCATAACTGATCATTTAACATTACTGCTACCCCTTCCTTTGCTCTAACTCTCTCAGATACTCCAGATTTAATCCCATTTATTTCCCCCCACTGAAACTCTCCTACCCCCTTCAGCTTTGTTTCGCTTAGAGCCAGGACATCCAACTTCTTTTCATTCATAACATCAGCAATAATCTGTTTCTTGTCATCCGCACTACATCCACGCACATTTAAACAACCCAGCAATTTTTATGCATACACAATACATTAATAGAACATAATTATCTTCTCACTTGAAAAAGTTTTTCCTCAATGGTCAGCCTAGGCTTAGTTGTTTTATTTGGGGATTTTTGAATGGAAGTCAAAGTGTGACTGGCTGATATGGGTGAAAGTGAACTTTTATTATATAGTCCGCTCTTATCTTCTCTTCCCCTATCTGAATCCCGTTTCTTAACTTCACTATGTGTCCTCTCCTTATTCTCCCCTTTTCTATCCAGTTTTGATCTACTCTCATCCTTTCTTTCACTGTCTTTATCTTTTCTATTCTTATCTCCATATTTATCCTCTCTTCTGTGCTTATCTCTATCCTTAGCCTTGTCATTTTTATCTCTGCTTCTATCTTTATCACTTTTTTCCCTGTCCTGTTCTCTATATTTATCTCTGTCATGTTTGTTTTCTTTATTGTCCCTGTTGTCTTTTTCTTTATCACTATAATGGCCATTCACTCTCTTTTCTCTGTCTTCATTTGCTTGCTTTAATTTCTCCTCTTGTATTTTTTTTGGAGGAGGAGAAAAATCAGCAAAATCATCATCTGAAAGAAAAAAATAACAATTGTTTTCACTCTTTTTTGATATAGAGCTTGAAAGGAAATTATATTACTAGTACAGTATTTGATATTCAATATAAAGAAAATTATTTGTTATGTAGAAATAGCATTGTAAGAAAACAAAGATGGCTAATTATTATTATTATTATTATTATTATTATTATACATTATAACACACCAGCCATCTCCCACCAAGGTAGGGCGACCCAAAGAAGGAAATATTTACCATCGCTCATTCAGTAACTTTATAATTATTATAGTCACAAAGAAGCACTAAATCCGAATGGGTCATACAGCAAAATGTACTTATTAGTTTTTTCATAATAAACTTTGTTAATGAAGCCTTACGTCATTATAGTGTGGTGGCAACGTTTGTACAAAGTCAATGCTTTAATGTAAGATCCTATGAGCCATGGGATTCTTCAGAATTTAAATGATTACTAGCTTGGATCCAAGTGGCATAATGCCAACAACAGTGAAGAAAAGACACGCCAAACAAGCTCCTATTGGATGGTGTGCCATTTGTGATAAACATCTGCATAGAGCAAAATATTCTTTCTAATAAAACTTTATCCTGAAGAATGAGACACTTGGGAGTCTTTACTGTGGAAAAGTTTTTGCCACAGTAAAGATTCCCAAATGTTGCAAAAGTGTCCTAATCTTCAACTTGTAGGCTTTCTGAACTATTTACACAAAAACTTTAACCTAATAAAAGCTTGCTCTGCAATGTGTCTTTTGATTAATAACTTACCATCTTGGGATTCGCATAAGACTTCAGCATAATTCACAGCTTTCCGAACCCTGCCAGAAGAAATTAATAGTTTGTGAAATTTACACACTGTACTAAAAGAAATCCTTTAAATATTTCTAAAAACTTATTAGATCTCAATACTGTATAGTCTAAAATAACTGGAAAATATTATGAATATATTTATGGAAAAGTACATTCATGCAGCATGTTCTCAATAATACATCACGGAAATCTAATTTTCCATTCCGATGCTATATGGTAAAAGCTGGTATAGCAGCACACATGCTAAATCTGAGGAAGATAAAGGCTTGTGAGGTAAGTAATCCTGATTGGGAAAGGCTGGTTCCACATCTGCTAAGATAATCTTCAGATCACCTATAACCATAATTTTTAAAGGGGTGTACTGGTAAGCCAGCGGAAAGCCTCAGTCAGGTGAACAAAAGCTCCGACGGCGTGTCATCATCTGACTAAGACTCACGTCAGGAAACACTTGTCCTGTTTCCTGACAAACCTTACCTAATCTAACCAGATCAGAGTGAGGCCCCATTTATACAGCAGGCTAGGTTCCAGCTACTGCTGTAAAGTGAAACATAGCCTTTTTTCACTTTCAAATGCATGCCTGATAACATGTTAACACTATCATATATCAAGTGAGCAACAGAGGTAGCCCTAAAAAAAATGAATATATAGTACATATTCCATACCTTAAAATACTTTTGTCTTTGGTTTACAGTAAGTGGTGAATATATTTATTGTAGGAAGTCTGAATAAATGAAGAATGGGTATAGCTGAAAATTGCTGCATGAGCAAAATGTCATAAAGCGAAGTGTGGTAAAGCGGGGACCTCCTGTATTTATTTATTTATTAATTTGAACATGATACAGAGAAGTACAAGGAATACAATTTTTAAAGTGCAGCATGCCAAAGCCCCTATTGCATTATATTGTATTTTAGGTTCATAAATTAATTCCACTCGCCGTTTTTAAAACTAGACAATTACAGTTTTTTTTTATTTTATGAATTGTAACTTGCATTTTTTTTTTAATCTTCCTGATAATACCTTGTATAGAAGCTAAATAGAGAGAAAATTAAACTATGTAGTTCTTAAATTAGTTTTAAGTTTAGTGTAGAATATTCTGTCTATTATTACTTTGAAATAAACAATCTCAATCTCAAACCTGTAAGGGCCATATATCGCCTGGGTAATGGGAGGTATTCAGGTTCAATTCAAGGAAAAGTAAGAGCTCCAGTTCCTTGGACTGAATAAGTAATCAAGTTTATTTAGGCACAGGTACACATAAGTACAATTATCATACATAATGTAAATTACCCAGGATAACCTAAAAGCCCTTCAACAGCATGGAGGCATCCCTCCTGAAGAGACATGTACAGTGGACCCCCGGTTAACGATATTTTTTCATTCCAGAAGTATGTTCAGGTGCCAGTACTGACCGAATTTGTTCCCATAAGGAATACTGTGACATGGATTAGTCCATTTCAGACCCCCAAACATACACGTACAAACGCACTTACATAAATACACTTACATAATTGGTCGCATTCGGAGGTGATCGTAAAGCGGGGGTCCACTGTATTATTATTATGATCAACTGAAGCGCTAAAATGGTAAGGGTGATACAACTTGAAGGGACATATTTATTGTAAAAATTATATCTGCAAAGCCATTTATAGATTATCTTAAATCAAGACATCTTCCCTAAGCTCTGTATGACCTGTACGGGTTTGGTAAGAAACTACATTTTTATATTAAAGCGTCATGCATAATGTTACACTTTTACATTACATTCATGGGGAGCACTAAACCCATAGGGGTCATACAACATCTGGGGGAATGAAGGGAGCCAGGCTCAATTCCATGGATCAAGAACCCTTTCCTGAGGGATTAAACTCTTACAACGATTTTACACAATAAATGATGCAAAATTTAACCCGTGATGACCCAATATGTCGATTTCGTAAGATTTTTTTTATTGCTTTTATTTTCGCCAGGGAGGAAGCACCAGGAGGAAGTGAAGCAATCAGGTTCAATCCGAGGAAGGGGATTATAAGTCCAGTTATTTCCTCATAATACCCTGAAGTTGTATTATATATATATGTAAGTTTATTCAGGTATACACATATACAGTTATACTGATTACCATACACAGCAGATATGTGTAGACACTATGTATTATATATTATGTATTATGGTTGTATTATATATTATGACAATGTATTACGTTGTATTATGATTATGTATTATGGTTGCATTATTGTATTATGATTGTATTGTTGTATTATGGTTATACTACATAATTTTGTTGTATTATGTATTATGGCTGTATTGTGTATTATGGCTGTATTATGTATTATGGCTGTATTATGTATTATGGCTGTATTATGTATTATGGCTGTATTATGTATTATGGCTGTATTATGTATTATGGCTGTATTATGTATTATGGCTGTATTATGTACTATGGCTGTATTATGTATTATGGCTGTATTATGTATTACGGCTGTATTATGTACTACGGCTGTATTATGTATTATGGCTGTATTATGTACTATGGCTGTATTATGTATTATGGCTGTATTATGTACTATGGCTGTATTATGTATTATGGCTGTATTATGTACTATGGCTGTATTATGTATTATGGTTGTATTATGTATTATGGCTGTATTATGCATTATGGCTGTATTATGTATTATGGCTGTATTATGTATTATGGCTGTATTATGTATTATGGCTGTATTATGTATTATGGCTGTATTATGTATTATGGCTGTATTATGTATTATGGCTGTATTATGTATTATGGCTGTATTATGTATTATGGCTGTATTATGTATTATGGTTGTATTATGTATTATGGCTGTATTATGTATTATGGTTGTATTATACATTATACACATATCTAGCAGACTTAACTCCAGGTTATTCCTTCAGCACATCCTCATCACTACAAATAATGATAATAATATTAAACACTAACCTTTTACCCTCACAAATTTCCATTAATAACTCTAAGCAACGGGTTATATTACGAATTATTTATAATAAGTTATTGAGACTTTTTTTATATTTATCTGTGAGAGTTTTGGCGGGGATCAAACGAGCACTTCAAGCTATTATAAAACTAAATCCTTGGAGAAATTCCTTATTAAAATGAAGTATAACTTAAATTATCAAAGGTGTTGAAAGTTTGTTCATTGGGTGGTAATTTTTATTTGTATATTAGACGTTATTTGTTAGATTAATAGTTGTTGAGTTGGTTGGTGGGTCACGTGATGACAACAAAGCTGGAGTGTCAGCTGTTCTGCTCTCACACTGATGTAGGCCTGTGTAGGCCTAGTGTTTCCACCCTTGACTGTAAGAGGACTAGTTTGTCATTAAAGGAAGCCAGGGAGAGGTTATACTGGTGGAACTGAAGGTTAGTTCCTCTCTTGGTGTCTCTTTAAGAGTCTTGGTGACTTTATTGTGTCAAGGTCAGTTTTATTTTTATTGTGTCTGTTGTTCTTGTCATTCGTTTTCGTGTATTTGATGTTCTTTATTTTTATTGTTAATAATTGTGAATTATCCTTGGTAATTTACACACGTGTCACTATGTACTCTCCTAAATTTGTGTAATTGTACTTACGTGACATGTTTTTTGGTTACCTTAGGTAATTTACACTATGTGTTAATTGTATTTATGTGTACCTGTGCCTAAATAAACTTAATTACTTGCCTGTGCCTAAATAAACTTAATTATTTACATATGCCTAAATAACCTTATTTAACCAATTCTGATAGGCTGTTAATGGTTTCAGTAAAAAGAAATCTTGTTGCTATCTAAAAATTTTTTTTCCCACAGCACGTTTGAAATGTCGTGCCTCTTGGAACAAATAGCAGCTGTTGGTAACACCCCAGAGCTTGTTCAGTTCCTGTGTCCTCACCTGATCAGTGGAAGTAGAGCCTCTCTCCAGGGAAGTCTAAACTTGACACAGAATCCAGGTTAGCTTCTACAATATTCTTTCACTTCAGTAGGTAAGAATTTCACTTACAGCTTAGTACTGTATTTATATTTTTGTTAATTGGAGAGTATAATCCAGTCCAGCATTAAATTACAATATTTCTTATAGTTTAGAACAGATTTATAATTAATTTTTTCCAGATAGTGAATGGAATGATGAATGGGGTGAATGGGATGACTTTGAGAGAAGTGGAGGACTCTCTGGTACTGGAAGCAGCAGCGATGTACGGCCAAAATCTTCCTCTTCCCCACAACCAGAAACTTCTTGGCTGTCAGAGTGTATTATTGCAGCTTCTCCCACATTAGATTTTATGGCTGTTTCTTACAAAAGCCGCATGGTAATATTGTCTTGTAAGTACAGTACTGTACTATTAATATCAATTTTCTTTAATATCTTTTATTTATCTACTGTAATATGTAATTTTAAAAAATTGCTTTAATGAGTATTCGGGTAGAGCACAGTAACGATGAAAGCGTATGGTGGAACCAATCAAAGTGAATCTAGAGAGGTGGCAAGCCAATTATTGTATATACAGTTTACAGCTATGCTTAGAGATAACTTGTATCACTCACACTCAGCACAAGCATTCTCACAACATTGGCACCACTAGATTATAGGAACTAATATCCAAATCCTTTTAATAAAAACATGACAAATTGGCAGTTATGCAGTCCAAAACTAGTTTGAACCTTCTTCTATGTATGGCACACAAGCTCTGAAGGTTTAAAGCTATTCAGAAATTGCATTCTTAAGTTGTCAGGTTTGAAATGTTTGTAAATTATTGGATGAAAACCAGCAAATTAACCCTTTACCAGCTTCGTACCCATTACAGCCCAAAATCAATACAAAACTTCCTTTAAGAAAAATGCACTACCACTAAAAGTTTGAAGCTGACCAGATGATGTATTCTCCAGTTATTGCATGGCAGTCAACATATTTAAAGTTTATTATAAACATGTTAGTAAAAGGCACTTGTACAGCCTCAACCCAAAAAGTATTGTCCTTTTCATTAGATGCATCATCCATTAAAGGTTGAAGACATTCATAAGAGGCATCCTCTATTCCATGAAAAATATATTACACCTTTTTCAAAATAAAATTGGCAACAATATATAATAAAGTTTGAAGCGAATCAGATGAAGCTTTATCAAGTTATTACATGGAAAAAAAAATTGGGATTGGTGTGTGTGTACAACTGACCAGACAGCACCTGAACATGCCAAGAGTTGCATGGACTTTTCCCAGAGTTTATTTCACCAGCATTTAAAATTTAATGGTGAACAAATGAGGCATTTATAAATGTAAACCTTGGAGGGAGAAGAAAACAGGAAAATTCAGGCAACCACCTTAAGGCACCCCTTCAGAGATACCTTTGGATTTTAATACTTGCAATAAATCGCAAAATGGGTGGGGCTTGAACCCATGGCTAGCGCACTCACTTCACACATTGAGGTTCCTTGTTCGATTCCTAGTATGAGTGGAAACATTAGGATGTGGTTCTTTAAGATGCCTGCTGTCCCTGTTCACCTAGCAGTGAGTACGTATCTGGGTGTTAGTTGACTTATGTGAGTCTAATCCTGGGGACAAAATTGACCTAGTTTCCCTAAAATGCTCTGCATAACTAAGGGCTTTCTATATAGTAGTATGTCACTGATGTCAGCTAGGTCTGTATACATTGTACATGTACTTGTAGAAATAGAGGTTATTATTATTATAAATATTTGTTTAGAATTGTGCTATTATGGTTTCGTGAGTAATAGTTTCTATACACAAATAACTCGCACATAAAAGAGAAGCTTACGACGACGTTTCGGTCCGACTTGGACCATTTACAAAGTCACACTAACCAGAAGTGGAGCAGGACGGCTATATATAGGCAGGAAGAGGTGGTGGTGGTGGTAGTAGTAGTAGTAGTAGTAGAAGAGGTAGTAGTAGTGGGGAATAAGGAGGACGAGCCAGTCAAATACAAAGGAAGGGGAGCACTGCAAGGGAGCTAGGTGCCCACAGAGGGAGAGCAAGCGCACAGAGGTGCATGTTATTAATAGTTTCTATACTTGGTCACATTGAATGCCTTCCTCAAGATCATGAAATAACTTGATCACTATTGGAATCAGTCACTACATACCACGCATTTCGTTATATTCTGTCACATTCATGTCTATTTGAATTATCAAACCATCTTACAAACCATACTAAAATGTATTTATTTGTAGTTGAGACACCAGTTTGCACTGTGGTTCAGTTAGTAGCCCATTCAGCTCACTTTCTGATTGTCCAGGATTTGATCCCCAACACAGGTAGAAACATTGAGCATATTTCCTTACACCTGCTGTCCCTGTTCACCTAGCAGTAAGTACCTGGGTGTTAATCATCTGTTGTGGGTGACATCCCAGGGGGTGGTGGTATACCTTCGATATGGGTGGGCTTAGAAATGAGCTTGGATAGGATAATGGCCTTTAATCTATGAAAATGATATGTATATTAAATACATAACTAACAAAACCTAGTAGGCATTTTACTTCAAAATTTATTTTTATGGGGCAGCTCATTATTAAAATTTGCCACACCTTACATGATGCTGTGTAAATGATTTGAAAAATATATTAAGGGTGTTACTTTCTCCATTTCTTAAGACTGTACTGTTCTTATTTTATGCTGTGCTGTACATATATCCATTTTCTTTTTTTCACTAAACTAGGATACTGTTAATTTACAAATGATAGGAAAGAATTTTCTAGGAATCAGATTTAGCACTGAACATGTATTTTCTTCCCTTTTCCACAACCCCTATCCCCTCCCCCATCTCCCAAAAGATTTAGCTATCCTCTTTGTTGCATTACATGTGGAAAATGTAATTTTCCAACATGTAATTTTCCAAAGCAGTACCTTTTCTTGTATTATTTAAGGTCGCTGGGAAAGTTCAGCTGAAGAAGAAGAAGAAAGAATGAAGTTAGTAATTACTTGGCGTGGTACACTTGGATTTGGTGCAAGGTACACGAGTTCAGTTTTTTAAATGATTTTACTTCGTTGCCTTTTGTCTCTGGATTATGTATGGTATTCAAAATATTCCTGTACTGTTTTCTGTTTTAACAGTTAAATATGTACATGAATAAACACTCTCACATGCCCTAGAGGAGAATTTTGAATTTTGGTATCGGAGGACAATTTTTAATATGTGATAATACAATTACCATTTGCCTAATTAACTAATCATATTTATCTAGTATCTCATTACTGTATTTACTTATAATTTACTGCTTTTGATGATTATATTGAAAATTGGAGGGCCATGTAACTTCTGGAAAAACATAGAGAATGGGGGATGGTGAATGTATTTCTTTGGGTCACCTTGTATTAGTAGATGGTTAATAGGTTCAAAAATCTGATAATCAGAATTTTAATATAAGTAATGTTATCATGTATATACAGTACTGAATTTCTGTTCATAGGAGAATTCTACATCACAAAATTGAATGAATACTTTTTTTATAGCTCCAACTTTGTTTTGCTTCTCTCTGGCAGTGATGAAATAAGTGCATTGCTTTGTTTGCCACTGATCTCCCAGAAGCAGAGCAGCACTGGAGGCCCAGACTGGACTTGCATTATTGTTGGCTTCACTTCAGGAAATGTTGCTATGTATACCGAGGTAAAGTTCTCAGTTATGGTTGTTAAAAGACAATTGAGCAAATGCTAGGACTATTTTTTTAGTACACCTGGCTGGTTCTTTTTACATTTAGCAATTATACAGAGAAAGAGGTTACTAGTCCCTTGCTCCCAGCATTTTAATTGCCTCTTATGACACACACGGCTTACAGAAGAGATTCTTCTCCACTTCCCCATGGAAACGCTAGGATATATTTATTAGAAAACATTTTGGTCCTGGGACCTTCATCATGTGTCTCTTTAAATCCACATGTCTATTTAACCCTTAACCCCTTCAGGGTCCAAGGCCCAAATCGGAAGTGGTGCCCCAGTGTCCAAGAATTTTCAAAAAAAAAAATTTGTTATTTTTTCTTATGAAATGGTAGAGAATCTTTTTGTGAAGGTAATAAAACAAAAAGTACGAAATTTGATGGAAAATTGACGAAATTATGCTCTCGTGAATTTTGATGTGTCAGCGATATTTACGAATCGGCGATTTTGCCGACTTTGACTCCCATTTTAGGCCAATTACATTATTCCAATCAACCAAATTCTTAGCTATTTCACTAGTATTACTTCTATTCTATCGATTGAGCACAAGAAATCGCCAAGTCAACTGTTTCAACCACAAATTAAAGTGATTGGAAGTTGTTAATTTGGCCAATTTAACACAAAGTTCAAAATATTCCAATTTCAAAATAGGGTCCAGAATAAACAATGTAGGTATTCCTGGAACTAAAGTAACATTTCCTCTGTTCATTAGTTACGTTTTGAAGCTTTACAAATAAATTTCATTTTGATTTTTTATTCACATAATGAATTTTTACTCACACCAAAAAATAGAAGATTTACTGTTATGCAATACTGTAATAATTGTATAAATATCATCACCATATTTGTGAATGCATATTAGACCCACGTGTGAGGTCGTTTGTTTACTCTTGAATATCGGCAAAAATTTAACATTTCTGCTACTATGAGCTCAGTTTCAAGCCATTTCCAGTGCTAAAACCAATCAAAATCAACTTTATTTCTGTAATATGTCTTCCATTCTATCAAATGAGACCAAGAAATTGCAAATAGAACTATAAAAAACATACGAAAAAACACTGCAAAGTCGCTGTTTTAATCGAAAAATCATGATTTCAGTTTTTTATCTCATTATACACAGCGTGCTGCAGGATCTGTTTTATGTGGTGCACACATACCACATAGATGTATTCTCTCATATCTAGGCCCAAATGTACCACTCGTAGTTTATCAGAGTGAGCTGAGCTCATGACGTAGATCTACGGTTTGGACCCTGAACGTAAAGCCGTAGATCTACGGGACGGACCCTCAAAGGGTTAAACTGTCAAAACGTAGATCTACGCATTTTCAACATTTGAAAGTATGTAAAAAATGTAGATCTTCTTTTCTTTTTTTACATTTGAAAACGTGTAAAAAAAAACTTGGATCTACTTTTTTTTTTTTTTTGTTATATTTGAAAATATGTAAAAAAATGTAATCTACTTTTGGAGCACTACGTATGTGAACATAGATCTGCTTGGACAGTTTAAGGCTTAAATCACTTGTCATCAATTACCAAAGTTTATATCAAACTCTTAGGTATACTGTATATGTCTTTTAAATCTTTACTTGTTCAAAAATGAGATATTATATGCCTGTGTTTTACCTGTAATCAATTTAGATTACAGATAAATCCGTCTCACAACCTGTCTTGAAGCCAGGCTGATTCTGTTGATTGATTGTTGAACCAGGCTGTTGTTAGATTTGGCTGCTGGTTCACAAGGCCATCACAGCCTGGTTTATCTGGCACTTTGCAGAGGTAGTGCTCCAGTTTACTCTTGACTTCTTCGCTTATTCTGGCAGCATTTTAACAATATATACATTATGTATAGTAGGTTGGAAGGCAGCAACCACCCAGGGGGGTACTACCATCCTGCCAAGTGAGTGTGAAACGAAAGCCTGTAATTGTTTTACATGATTGTAGGATTGCTGGTGTCTTTTGTCTGTCTCATAAATATGCAAGATTACAGGTACGTCTTGCTACTTCTACTTACACTTAGGTCACACTACACATACATGTACATGTTTATTTATACACACTCATCTGAGTTTTCTTTGATTTTATCTTAATAGTTCTTGGTCTTATTATTTTTCCTTTTATATCCATGGGGAAGTGGAATAAGAATCTTTCCTCCATAAGCCATGCATGTTGAAAAAGTCAACTAAAATGCTGGGAACAGTGGCCTAGTAACACATTTTCCTGTAATAATTACTAAAAAGAATAATAATAAGAAAATTGTCAAAGTGGGAAGTCTGAATGTGCTTGGATGTTGTGCAAATGATAAGAAAGAGATGATCATGGATGTTATAAATGAGAAGAAGCTGGATGTCCTGGCTTTAAGTGAAACAAAGCTGAAGGGGGTGGGAGAGTTTCAGTGGAGAGGAATAAATGGGATTAGGTCAGGGGTTTCAAATAGAGTTAGAGCTGAAGAAGGAATAGCAATAATGTTGAAGGATAAGTTATGGCAGGAAAAGAGGGACTATAAATGTATTAATTCAAGGATTATGTGGAGTAAAATAAAGGTTGGATGTGAAAAGTGGGCTATAGTAAGCGTATATGCACCTGGAGAAGAGTGAAGTGTAGAGAGAGAGAGATTTTAGGACATGTTGAGTAATGCATGGGGAGTTTTGAACCAAGTGTGAGAGTAATGGTGGTTGAGGATTTCAATGCTAAAGTGGGCAAAAATGTTGTGGAGGGAGTAGTAGGTAAATTTGGGGTGCCAGGGGTAAATGAAAATGGGGAGCCTTTAATTGAGCTGTGTAGAAAGAGGTTTGGTAATAAGTAATACATATTTTATGAAGAAGAGGATAAATAAATATACAAGGTATGATATAGCACATAATGAAAGTAGTTTGTTACATTATGTATTGGTGGATAAAAGGTTGATGGGTAGGCTCCAGGATGTACATGTTTTATAGAGGGGCAACTGATATATCGGATCATTATTTAGTTGTAGCTACAGTTAGAGTAAGAGGTAGATGGGGAAAAGAGGAAAATGGCAACAACAAGCAAGAGGGAGGTGAAAGTGTATAAACTAAGGGAGGAGGAAGTTTGGGTGAGATATAAGCAACTATTGGCAGAAAGGTGGGCTGGTGCAAGTATGAGTAGTGGGTGGGAGGTTGAAGAGGGTTAAAAATGCAGTATTAGAATGTGGGGCAGAAATTTGTGGTTATAGGAGGGTGGGTGCAGGAGGAAAGAGGAGTGATTGGTGGAATGATGAAGTAAAGGGTGTGATAAAAGAGAAAAAGTTAGCTTATGAGAGGTCTTTACAAAGTAGAAGTGTTATAAGAAGTGTAGAGTATATGGAGAGTAAAAGAAAGGTGAAGAGAGTGGTGAGAGAGTGCAAAAGGAGAGTGGATGATAGTGGGAGAGGCACTGTCAAGAAATTTTAATGAAAATAAGAAAAAAATTTGGAGTGAGTTAAACAAGTTAAGAAAGCCTAGAGAACGAATGGATTTGTCAGTTAAAAACAGAGTAGGGGAGTTAGTAGATGGGGAGATGGAGGTATTGGGAAGATGGCAAGAATATTTTGAGGAACTTTTAAATGTTGATGAAGAAAGGGAAGCGGTAATTTCATGCACAGGCCAGGGAGGTATACTATTTTTTAGGAGTGAAGAAGAACAGGATGTGAGTGTGGGGGAGGTACATGAGGCATTATGTAGAATGAAAGGGGTAAAGCAGCTGGAACTGACAGGATCATGACAGAAATGTTAAAAGAAGGGGGGGATATAGTGTTGGAGTGGTTGGTATTTTTGTTTAATAAATGTATGAAAGAGGGGAAGGTACCTAGGGATTGGCAGAGAGCATGTATAGTCCTTTTATATAAAGGGAAGGGTGACAAAAGAGATTGTAAAAATTATAGAGGAATAAGTTTCCTGAGTATACCAGGAAAAGTGTACGGTAGGATTATAATTGAAAGAATTAGAGGTAAGACAGAATGTAGGATTGCAGATGAGCAAGGAGGTTTCAGAGTGGGTAGGGGATGTGTAGATCAAGTGTTTACATTGAAGCATATATGTGAGCAGTATTTAGATAAAGGTAGGGAAGTTTTTATTGCATTTATGGATTTAGAAAAGGCATATTTGTCAGTTAAAAATAGGAGAGGAGAGTTATTAAATGGAGAGTTAGAGGTATTGGGAAGATGGAGGGAATATTTTGAGGAATTGTTAAATGTTGATGAAGATAGGGAAGCTGTGTAAGGGGGTAATGCAGCTGAGATTGATGGGATAAAGATAGAAATGTTAAAAGCAGGTGGGGATATAGTTTTGGAGTGGTTTGTGCTATTACTTAATAAATGTATGGAAGAGGGTAAGGTACCTAGGGATTGGCAGAGAGCATGCATAGTTCCTTTGTATAAAGGGAAAGGGGACAAAAGAGAATGCAAAAATTATAGGGGGATAAGTCTGTTGAGTATACCTGGTAAAGTGTATGGTCGAGTTATTATTGAAAGAATTAAGAGTAAGATGGAGAATAGGATAGCAGATGAACAAGGAGGCTATAGGAAAGGTAGGGGGTGTATGGACCAGGTGTTTACAGTGAAACATATAAGTGAACAGTATTTAGAGAAGGCTAAAGAAGTTTTCGTGGCATTTGTGGATTTGGAAAAGGCGTATGACAGGGTGGATGGGGGGGCAATGTGGCAGGTGTTGCAGGTGTATGGTATAGGAGGTAGGTTACTGAAAGCAGTGAAGAGTTTTTACGAGGATAGTGAGGCTCAAGTTAGAGTATGTAGGAAAGAGGGAGATTATTTCCCAGTAAAAGTAGCCCTTAAACAAGGATGTGTGATGTCACCGTGGTTGTTTAATATATTTATAGATAGGGTTGTAAGAGAAGTAAATGCGAGGGTCTTGGCAAGAGGCGTGGAGTTAAAATATAACCCCCACTTTATGTGCGATTCTTTGTCACAGTTGCTCTTTGCTGATGACACTGTGCTCTTGGGAGATTCTGAAAAGAAGTTGCAGAGGTTGGTGGATGAATTTGGTAGGGTATATAAAAGAAGAAAATTAAAAGTGAATACAGGAAAGAGTAAGGTTATGAGGATAACAAAAAGATTAGGTGATGAAAAATTGGATATCAGATTGGAGGGAGAGAGTATGGAGGAGGTGAATGTATTCAGATATTTGGGAGTGGACATGTCAGCGGATGGGTCTATGAAAGATGAGGTGAATCATAGAATTGATGAGGGGAAAAGGGTGAGCGGTGCACTTAGGAGTCTGTGGAGACAAAGAACTTAGTCCTTGGAGGCAAAGAGGGGAATGTATGAGTATAGTTTTACCAACGCTCTTATATGGATGTGAGGCATGGGTGATGAATGTTGCAGCGAGGAGAAGGCTGGAGGCAGTGGAGATGTCATGTCTGAGGGCAATGTGTGGTGTGAATGTAATGCAGAGAATTTGTAGTTTGGAAATTAGGAGGAGGTGTGGGATTGCCAAAACTGTTGTCCAGAGGGCTGAGGAAGGGTTGTTGAGGTGGTTTGGACATGTAGAGAGAATGGAGCAAAACAGAATGACTTCAAGAGTGTATCAGTCTGTAGTGGAAGGAAGGCGGGGTAGGGGTCGGCCTAGGATAGGTTGGAGGGAGGGAGTAAAGGAGGTTTTGTGTGCGAGGGGCTTGGACTTTCAGCGGGCATGCATGAGTGTGTTTGATAGGAGTGAATGGAGACAAATGGTTTTTAATACTTGACATGCTGTTGGAGTGTGAGCAAAGTAGCACTTATGAAGGGGTTCAAGGAAACCGGCTGGCTGGACTTGAGTCCTGGAGATGGGAAATACAGTGCCTGCACTCTGAAGGAGGGGTGTTAATGTTGCAGTTTAAAATCTGTAGTGTAAAGCACCCTTCTGGTAAGACAGTGATGGAGTGAATGATAGTGAAAGTTTCTCTTTTTTGGGCCACCCTGCCTTGGTGGGAATCAGCCAGTGTGCTAATAATAATAATAAAAATATGATAGAGTGGATAGGGGAGCAATGTTGCAGATGTTGCAAGTATATGGAATAGGTGTTTAAGTTACTAAATGCTGTAAAGAGTTTTTATGAGGATAGTGAGGCTCAGGTTAGGGTGTGTAGAAGAGAGGGAGACTACTTCCCAGTAAAAGTAGGTCTTAGACAGGGATATGTAATGTCACCATGGTTGTTCAATATATTTATAGATGGGGTTATAAAAGAAGTAAATGCTAGGGTGTTCAGGAGAGGGGTGGGATTACATTTTGGGGAATTAAATACAAAATGGGAATTGACACAGTTGCTTTTTGCTGATGATACTGTGCTTATGGGAGATTCTAAAGAAAAATTGCGAAGGTTAGTGGATGAGTTTAGGAGCGTGTAAAGGTAGAAAATTGAAAGTGAACATAGAAAAGAGTAAGGTGATGAGGGTATCAAATGACTTGGATAAAAAAAAATTGGATATCAAATTGGGGAGGAGGAGTATGGAAGAAGTGAATGGTTTCAGATACTTGGGAGTTGACATGTCGGCGGATGGATTTATGAAGGATGAGGTTAATCATAGAATTGTTGAGGGGGGAAAAAGGTGAGTGGTGTGTTGAGGTATATGTGGAGACAAAAAATCGTTATCTATGGAGGCAAAGAAGGGAATGTATGAAAGTATAGTAGTACCAACACTCTTATATGGGTGTAAAGCTTGGGTTGTGAATGCAGCAGCGAGGAGGTGGTTGGAGGCAGTGGGGATGTCCTGTCTAAGGGCAATGTGTGGTGTAAATATTATGCAGAAAATTCGGAGTGTGGAAATTAGGAGGTGTGGAGTTAATAAAAGTATTAGTCAGAGGGCTGAAGAGGGGTTGTTGAGGTGATTTGGTCATTTAGAGAGAATGGATCAAAGTAGAATGACATGGAGAGCGTATAAATCTGTAGGGGAAGGATGGCAGGATAGGGGTCATCCTCAAAAAGGTTAGAAGGAAAGGGTAAGGGATGTTTTGTGGGCGAGGGGCTTGGACTTCCAGCAGGAGTGCATGAGCGTGTTCGATAGGAGTGAATGGAGACGAATAGTATTTGGGATCTGACGATCTGTTGGAGTGTGAGCAGGGTAATATTTAGCGAAGGGATTCAGGGAAACCGGATATTTTTATATAGCCGGACTTGAGTCCTGGTAATGGGAAGTACAGTGCCTGCACTCTAAAGGAGGGGTTTGGAATATTAGCAGTTTGGAGGGATATGTTGTGTATCTTTGTACATATATGCTTCTAAACTGTTGTGTTCTGAGCACCTCTGCATAAACAGTGATTATGTGTGAGTGAGGTGAAAGTGTTGAATGATGATGAAAGTATTTTCTTTTTGGGGATTTTCTTTCTTTTTGGGTCACCCTGCCTCAGTGAGAGACGGCAGACTTGTTAAAAAGAAAAAAAGTATAGTAGGTGATTATAAAACATTATAAACAAACATTAAATACACAAGGATAAGAAAAAGGCATCAGGAAAAAATGTAATGCATAATAGGGAAAATCATAAATAAAACTAGAGAAAATAATTATATCTGGAAATTGAGGCCAAAGGAAATGGTAAGTAATGGAAAAAATGAACATTTTCTTGCACATCTCTTAATTTTAAAATAAGCCTATTAGTGTTCTCTATCCAACAGAATGGTTTGGTATTGTTGTCTCAACTTTTTGAGGAAGAAGCAGTTCTGAGCCTCACATGCCGCACACTGTATAGCGGGTGCAACGGTTTATTAGCGCCCGACCTGACTGAGGAGCTGGTCATTCTTTATCCACGTTCAGTCACCACCATTGATGGGTTCTCTCTCTTTCAAACCCTGCGGGGTTGTAGAAACCAAGTTGCTAAAGGTATGTATACAACTGGGAAAGTATGATAACAGATAGAAATCTAATTGCCTAGAAAAGGGTTATACTTGTTTTATAATACTGTGTCTATGAAGCCCATTGCAGCCTTGTGTAGTGTTTAAAATTACAGTAGTTCTTAAGTACAAAATGTGTGTGAGGAAAATGTATGGCTTTGATGTTTAGTAATTTTAGGGGGTTTTTGTTAGGAATTTATTCTTTCTTTCAATAAACCTACCATATCCCACTGAAGCAGGGTTACCTAAAAAGAAAAATGTTTATTTTTTAACTTTAGTAATGTATATAGGAGGAGGAGTTACTAGCCCCTTGCTCCCAGCACATTAGTCGTGTTTTACGACATGCATGGCTTACAGAGGAAGAATTCTGTTCCACTTTTCCATGGAGATAAGAGGAAATAAACAAGAACTATATATATATATGCTTGTACACGCATGTGTAGTGTGACCTAAGTGTAAGTAGAAGTAGCAAGATATACCTGAAATCTTGCACGTTTATGAGACAGAATGAAGACACCAGCAATCCTACTATCGTGTAAAACAATTACAGGATTCTGTTTTACACTCGCTTGGCAGGACGGTAGTACCTCCCTGGGTGGTTGCTGTCTACCAACCTACTACCTAGGCTAAGGGATTTATGTTTCCTCTATAAACTGCTTAATGTAAAAAGAAGAAAAACTTTTTTCTTTATTTTTGGGGCACCCTTCCTCAGTGTGAGACGGCCGGTATGTTAAACAGAAAAATTAAGGGAATATGAGCGACCTCGTTGGTTTGAAAAAATTATTGGCCTAGTAAGAGTTATATTCCCTGTGTAAATCAGAATTTTTGTAATTGCTTTATGTTGTGTGAAAAATTAAATACTGCTTAAGAAAGGCAAGTTAGGATGAGTTTAGTTTAAATTTATTTAAATCAGTTTGATGTCATATTTTCTTCAAGATGTATTTCAAATGAATAATCTCAAGGAAAGACTTGAAATGATGTACAGCTCGTATGTTAATTACACATAAGTACAGTGGACCCCCGGTTAACGATATTTTTTCACTCCAGAAGTATGTTCAGGTGCCAGTACTGACCGAATTTGTTCCCATAAGGAATACTGTGAAGTAGATTAGTCCATTTCAGACCCCCAAACATACACGTACAAACGCACTTACATAAATACACTTACATAATTGGTCGCATTCGGAGGTGATCGTTATGCGGGGGTCCACTGTATTTTAATTATGTATAATTAATGCTTAAACATTGGTTACATGAAACAGTACCGCATTGAAAAATGCTGTATAAAGTTTGTGTTAGAGCAGTATATTTCAGGATAGATTCAAAATAAATTCTGAAAATATGACAGTTTATTTACATTTGTATGCCCAGTTGGGTTCATATTTCGTGGCACTATGGTGCTGACACCTAGTGGCATAGGCCTACCAATCTCAGCCCACACCACTCTTACTCTCTCACTCTGGCAGCTGACCTCTGTCAACAAGGTTTACTCTGTCACTCTCTCCTGGGCATGGCCCTCTGGGCCTGGGCACTTAAACACACTGCCTGTGTACAAGACCCCAAATAAAGTAACAAGCCCCGCTTGCACATACCCGCCAAATGAATCATAATACATTTCACCTACCCAGTATCTTTTGTTCTACATCACTAACTTGTTGATTGTTGTGATACTGCAGCAGCAGCCAGTGGTGGGGAAAACGTGAGTGTTCCACCACTAGGGTATAAGAAGTGGGGTCTTGTGGATCAGAGTATGGTCAAGGACTGTGCTGCTCCTGGTATGTCTCCGCCCTTTCTCTATGACCATTTGGTCCAGACTTCTCTTGCGAAAGGATTCAACCATGCTTGTGCATCAGGTAGGTTGTATCATGATTTATTTATCCTTTTTTATTACTAAAACATGCATGTATTACATTTTTGTCTAATGTGTGTTGATTGAGGATTGGGCACACATCTCTTACCCATAACTACCTGTTTGCCTTTGCTCCTGGCTCTTCACTGAGTAGCTTGTGATGTGCAGTTTGCCTGCAACTTAGGCTTTTTAGTTTTCATTGTGGCTTTTATAATTACAAGGGTACCTTTAGGCCAGAGGCGTCGCCAGGGTTGGCGTCACCCAGGGCGGAATCTTGGGTGTCACCCCCATGAAATTCAAGGGCGGAGGGATGGGGGGTAAACTCCAGTTACGTCACTACCGCATGACCAGTGACTAATGTTTAGTAATGAGAACGTTTAACCCTTAAACGGGCCAAACGTATATATATGTTTTTTCAACATTTGAAAGTATGAAAAAAAATGTACATTTTTTTTTTTTTTACATTTGAAAATGTGTAAAAAAAAATTTTATCTACTTTTTTTTTTTGTTTGAAAATATGTCAAAAAACATAGATCTACTTTTGGAGCACTACGGATTTGAATGTCGATCTATTTGGACCGTTTAACCCTTTGACTGTTTCAGGCCCCTCTCTGAAACTGTCATTCTATGTCGCTCAATTTTTGAAAAAAAAAAATTTATTTTTTCTTATGAAATGATAGAGAATCTTTTCCCGATGGTAATGACACCAAAAGTTCGAAATTTGGTCGAAAACTCGTGGAATTATGCTCCCGCGAAGTTAGCGGTCTCGGCGACATATGCGTATCGGCGATTTCGCCGACTTTGAGCCCTATTCTCAGCCAATTCCATTGTTCCAGTTGACCAAACTCATAGCTATTTCTTTAGAACTCCATTTTATCTATCAGCTGAGTACAAGAAACCTCCCATTTACTAATTTGGACTACCCAATATGGTGGTCAGAAATTGGCAATTTGGCCAATTTCACGCAAAATAAAAAAGATGCCAATTTCAAAATAGGGTCCAGAATAAACAAGGTAGACATTTGTGGCACTAAAATAACATATGCTCTGTTCATTAGTCACATCTCTAGGCCCCTCTTATATTATTATTGCTTTCTATTTTGATTTTTTATTCATACAAAAAAATACAAAATTTACTGTTATGCAGACAACTGCATTATTGTAGAAATGGTATAAATAATATCAGTGCACTAGTGAAAGAATATTAGACTCCCCAGTTGACGTGTATTGGACGTGTGGTGTGATTTATTTACTCTTGAACATTGGTAAAAATCGAACATTTCCGCTACTTTGAGCTCAGTTTCAAGGTCGCTTTCATCGTAAAAGTAATGAAAATCATCTCTATTTCTGTAATATGTTTTCCATTTTATCACCTAAGACCATGAAAACGCGAATACAACGATAAATACTATACGAAAATACACCTCAAAGTCGGCGTTTTATTCCAAAAAAACGATCAGAGTTTTTTTTTTCTCATTACGCAATGTGTGCTGCAGGATTTTTTTTATGTGGTGCACACTGACCACACAGACCCATTCTCTCACATGTGGGCCTACCAGCTTTCTCCCACTTGATTTGAAGCCGCTAGAATTATTGAGTATATATACGTCAGAAACATTGGCTCGTAAGACGTATTTATACGTCGAAAACAGTCAAAGGGTTAACCCTTTCAGGGTTTCGGCCGTACTAGTACGGCTTACGACCCAGAGTTTTTGACGTGCTAGTACGCCTAAATTCTAGCGCCCTCAAATCTAGTGGGAGAAAGCTGGCAGGCCTACATATGAAAGAATGGGTCTATGTGGTCAGTGTGCACAGTATAAAAAAAATCCTGCAGCACACAGTGCATAATGAGAAAAAAAACTGATCGTTTTTTTGGAATAAAACAGCGACTTTGCACTGTATTTTCGTATGGTATTTATTGCTGTATTCTAGTTTTCTTGGTCTCATTTTATAGAATGGAAGACATATTACAGAAATTGAGATGATTTTGACTGGTTTTACAATGAAAAGTATCTTGAAATTGAGCTCAAATTAGCAGAAATGTTCGATTTTTACCAAAGTTCAAAAGTAAACAAATCATGCCAAGCGTCCAGTACACGTCAGCTGGTGAGTCTAATATTCTTTCGCAAGTGCGCCAATATTATTTATACCATTTTTTACACTAATGCAGTAGTCTGCATAAAAGTAAATCTTCAATTTTTTGTGATGATAAAAATTCAAAGTGAAAAGCAAAAGAATGTAAGAGGGGCCTTGAGACGTGACTAATGAACAGAGGAAATGTCATTTTAGTGCCAGGAATGTCTTTCTTGTTTATTCTGGACCCTATTCGGAAATTGGCATCTTTTGAAATTTGTGTGAAATTGGCAAAATTGCTAAATTCTGATCACTGTACTGGATAGTTGAAATTGGTAAATGGGTGGTTTCTTGCACTCATTCGATAGAAAAAATGGAGTTCTAGCGAAATATTCATGTTTTTTGTCGACTAGTACAGTGGAATTGGCCGAAAATGGGGCTCAAAGTTGGCAAAATTGCCGATGCATAAACACTGCTGAGACCGCTAACTTTGCGAGAGCATAATTCCGTAAGTTTTCCATCAAATTTCATACTTTTGCTGTCATTATGATCGGGAAAATATTATCTTTTCATAAGAATTTTTTTTTTTTTTTTAAATTTGGCCGATCCTGAGAACGAGTCTCGGAGAGGGCCTGTCGACCCTCAAAGGGTTAAGGGCCATAAATCGAACAGGAGAATACAGTGGACCCCCGGTTTACGATCAGCTCCCAATGCGACCAATTATGTAAGTGTATTTATGTAAGTGCGTTTGTATGTGTATGTTTGGGGGTCTGAAATGGACTAATCTAATTCACAATATTCCTTATGGGAACAAATTCGGTCAGTACTGGCACCTGAACATACTTCTGGTATGAAATAATATCGTAAACCGGGGGTCCACTGTATTCTCAACATAATTAATGATAAAATAAATAATCGTACAGATCCCACATTTATTCGTCTTCAGCAATGACCCGCCCCCCCACAAAAAAAAATGAAAAATAAAGAAAAACTTTGCAATACCAGAGAAACACTAGTTCTGATTTTACCTTGAGCCCACGTAACATCTCAGTGAATCTGATCTTACATTTGACCTTGAGCCCAGGTAACATCTCAGCGAATCTGATCTTACATTTGACCTTGAGTACAGGTAACATCTCAGTGAATCTGATCTTACATTTCCTTGCCTTCAATCCTGCAAAATCATCTATCACATCATCAAAATCAATGATTTTCCTTATATAGGCCTATATAGACTATATAGAAACAAAGGATTCTTCTCTTATGTTGGTGCAGCACTGTTTTGTGCATTAGTGTCACCTTCAGAGGCTCTATGGTGTCACCCCCTAAATGTTGTCACCCAGGGCGGCCCGTCCCCCCCTTACAACGCCTCTGCTTTAAGCATCTTGTGGAACTTTCACGAGAGTCTTTTGACATTGACAGTTTAATGGAATTTTTAACTGATGCTGGTTATTTTAACTTGGTGTGTTGGTATTTGTGCATTAAATTTTGTAGTTCTTTGTTAATTTTATCTCTGAGGTCCTTATATGTAATATATTTATTATCCAAAAGCACTGCTTAATCTAGCCTGTATTGGCATCACAAACCTACTTATCTTTTATCTAGCTCGTTGTATCTAAGTTAATCCTAGATTAAAATCAAGGTTTTGAAAATTTTGGTGATGTATGGTAGACTCAAAAATGAAAAAGAAACCAAATATTGTTTAGAAAAGTTGTTTATGAACATGTAATGTTGAATCAATATACTGAGCAAGTGGAATAATACGTTTATAGAGAATTTGGGTTCTCTATTCCGGAGGTTGAATTTTGTTCGCTCATTATAATATGAGGATAAATATATTAGTTTCCTCTAAGATTTGGTTCTCAGTTATCATCCTATTTAATCTGGAATGCAATGAGGTTGATAGGTCAGGCATAATATAACTTATGTGGACTATCGGGCATAGTAAAAATCCTCTGGGGTCACAATTTTAACTCTTCTCAACCTCACCAAAGAAGATTAGTACATTTGAACAATCACTGGTTTCGGTGTTTCCACATGAGCTCTCAGTTAGTATTTATTTTTCCTGAACACCCCTCTTAATCCCTTAGAAACTGTATCCCCAATTGTACATTACTCTAATTGCCCTTGATTATCAGCTGTCCTAGTAACCTTGATGTACTGATTAATGTATTGCATGTCTTTAAAAAACCTTGCCCAAGTTAATGACACTTAATTTTCATCTCCTAACCTCATCAAATGGTTTCTGGATCTGGGCCTGTAAACACATTCATTGCATGCAGATTACACAGTGATAATGAAAGTAATGTGAGAAAATTTTATACATTGACAATTAATTTGTGTATCTGTATACAGATGTAATATATGCAGTTCAAGTTTTGGTTTAAATTCTTATATTGCAGTAACTGCTAATCAGTATGTACCTTGTGTCCAGGTTCATTATATATTATTTAAGTTTGCCTTCATAGAACGTGCATTTTTTTGCAGGTGTGCCGGCCACGTCACTCCTCCTCACAGTTGGTCGTGTACCTTTTGTTGGCTTTCTGACTGCTCAGGAGGGGTCGGCACCACCCTTTGTAGCAGATGTAGCACGCCTGTATGCCAGTAAACTTAAGGACGCACTGGTCTCTGCTGCCAGGTAACACAAATTAACAAGAGTATTTGACTTGCATATACAGTAGTAGGTCACTGACTCCAGATATTCCAACATATGATGTTCCACACCTATGTTATTGTAACTTTGGAGCCAATTAGTTATTTACAAAAGTTGATCTGCAGTAGCAATCATTGCCAACATTCAAACAATCTTTTTTTTTTTTTCAAGCAAATTATTTTAAATGTATTTGTTATACATATCATGCTTTAGCTGGATCTTGTAGTTATTAATAAAAAACTGGTAGAGCCATTAATTTTTCCAGTGGATGGCTGTTTGGAAGAAGTAGAAGTAAAGAGGTTGATCCATCTAAAGTGAAGCCTAAGATTGAACCTGCCACTCCTCTACCCTACAGGTGAGAAGCCAGACCATTATAAGCAGTATGTGCAAGGTACTTAAGAAAAGACTATGCATTTTACAGGATGGATTTGTGTATCTTTATTATTAATAGAGTGTAGGCATTGTAGTTCCCATCTCCAGGACTCAAGTCTGGCTCTCCTCTTTTTTAATATAAATAATCTTGTACTTCAAGGGGCTAGTAACCCCTTCTCCTGTATATATTACTAAATGTAAAAGGAGAAACTTTTGTTTTTCCTTTTGGGCCACCCCGCTTCAGTGGCATACGGCTGGTGCGTTGAAAGAAAGAAGAAGAATCTTGTACTTTGAAGGGGAACAGCTTTCTTAGTACAGTGGTACCCGAGTTTTGAACTTATTTCATACCAGAAGGCTGTTCAAGTGCTGATACTAAACAAATGTGTTCCCATAAGGAATAATGTAAATTAGGTTAGTCCGTTGCAGACCCCCAAAAACACACATACAAAAGCACTTACAATAATAAACTTACATAATTGTTCGAGATGTAGGTAGTAGGTTGGTAGACAGCAACCGCCCAGGGAGGTACTACCGTCCTGCCAAGTGAGTGTAAAACGGAAACCTGTAATTGTTTTACATGATGCTAGGATTGCTGATGTCCATTTTTCTGTCTCATAAACATGCAAGGTTTCAGGTACATCTTGCTACTTCTACTTACACTTAGGTCACACTACACATACATGTACAAGCATATACTGTATATACACACCCCTCTTGTTTTCTTCTATTTTCTTTCTAGTTCTTATTCTTGTTTATTTCCTCTTATCTCCATGGGGAAGTGGAACAGAATTCTTCCTCTGTAAGCCATGCGTGTTGTAAGAGGCGACTAAAATGCCGGGAGCAAGGGGCTAGTAACCCCTTCTCCTGTATATATTACTAAATATAAAAGGAGAAACTTTCGTTTTTCCTTTTGGGCCACCCCGCCTCGGTGGGATACGGCCAGTGTGTTGAAAGAAGAAGAAAGAATTGTTCGAGATGGGAGCGGTACGAAATTCTGGATACCACTGTATTAGTGTTGCCCCATTATTTGTAACTGTATCCATCAAGGTGGGTGCCTTGGTGTTGGTGAAGGGCTCTTGTTCTGATCTGTTCAAGCTACTCTCTCCTTCCATTGATCAGATGAGATTACCTCCCATTTCCCAGGGACTGTATGATCCCTGCGAGTTTAGTGCTTCCCTTTGAATGTAATACTGTAATAATGCATGCAAGTGTATAGTACACCATAGTTAAGAGGTCAAGAAAATTACTACTGATAAAGTGTCAGTGTAATGAATAATATTTTAATATAGAAATGCTGTAATGTGAATTTGTGTAAACACACTGCTATCATTACTGCATTTTTTCTTTTATGACAAGGTGGTCTATACCAGATACAACACGAGTGGGTGTGTCGGTGATCCTGTCTCCTGGAAGAAGATTAGCTGCTGTAACCGATGATTTTGGACGTGTGACTTTAATAGATATACACAGAGGAGTTGCTGTGCGCATGTGGAAAGGTAAATATGCAAAATTGTTTACTGAATAAATGAATGACTCAGAAACATATTTTGGTGAAATTTATGTAATGAAATGAGTGAAGTTTTTTGTAATTCATAGTTTTCTTAATGCATTGTTGTTGATGCACAGTACAGTATATCTTTGGACAGTCTTTTTTGCTAATGTCATTTTCAGTTTTCTCAACTGTTGGGTCTTTCCCTCACTTGTATTTTCTTGTGTAATCTTCCTTGTCCCTCACTAAAATATATTAGTCATTTTTCTTTATCTTCTGTACTTCAGACATTTAATGTCATATCTTTTTAATATGTCTCAGAAATTGATATAATCTTGTGCTGTGAGTGCTTCAGATTGTCTTGGAACTGTAATTTACATTCTTATCTCCTGTCAGTAATCTCGGTTAAGTATACAGGTTTGTTGCAGTGGGTAGACGAGTATTAACAACAGGGCTTTTGATTGTTTGCTAGGAAAATCTGGCCTTGGGCTAGGCTGTGATCACAGATGGGTACATATAATTGTAAACTTCTGGACTGGTAGAATGAAAAGTTGAAGATGGTAAGTTTTAGATCTAGTCGATTTTCAAAAAAAATGTATTGCTTTTTAAATTTCACCAGGTTATCGGGATGCTAACTGTGGATGGCTTGAGGTGGAGGGAGAATGGGGTGGAACCAAAAGACGCGTAGCCTTCTTGCTGATCTATGCCCCTCGACGGGGTCTATTGGAGGTTTGGACACCTCAGCAGGGACCAAGAGTAGCAGCATTTAATGTTCCTAAACAATCGAGGTAAAATATTTTCAGCAAGTTTTAAGTTTTACTGAAAATATGACCACTGTGTATGAAAAATTTCAGTTTCACTAGTACAAGGTAATAATTTTGTTTTGTAGTGTGATAGCATGACAGTGTGTAAAAATGATGGTTCATGGTTCTTTTTCAGCAAATGCATTACATTATTTAAGGATTTTAAGGAAAGCTTGTTGACCAATTTTGCTGACTTCTTTTGTTGATGTGTGTTGTAAAAGTAATCTTAAACAAAATTTTATTTAGCTCTGAGCAATAGTTTCGAAGTTTTATGCTTTTTCATTTTCCTGATTAGTGTGATTTATAATCCTTAGGGATGAAATAAATACACAGTACAGTCCTATCCTCAGTGTATATAACATACATACTGTAGATTTTAAAAAGATATTTACTAACTTATGTTAAAGGGCACCACACATACTGTAACATTCCATTTAGTATACAGATTCTTTAAGGAACATTTGTATATTATACACTGACTGAAAATAGCACAGAAAATTGAACAATACATTGGGAGGCTTGTATACACATCATACACACAGCTGGCTGGATTACGAGCCTGCTGGACCCTAGAGCTGAGAATTTTTTTGTGGTCTTGAAGCACACATTGGAATTTGAAATAATAAATTCCAATGAGTTAATAATTCATTTTAAAATAAAACTTGTAGTTTTATTTTGAGATGCTGTATTTTCAAAAGTCTCTGAACAAAAGTGTCTGAATTTTCATAGGCCTATTATGGTGCTGGATCTGGAGCTTTAGCTCCCTCGGTTCCCTCCTTAATAGGGCCCTGATCATACAGAAATCACCACATTATTTTGTGAATACTGTTTTAATTTTTTATTTGTGCAGCAAAACACTGATCTTTTAACCTAGTTTTTAGACTACCTGAAATGCTCTGTATAACCAGGAACTTTTCAGTAAAGATGTCTGTTTCACCAGTTCTTGCAATAATTGTATTTACTGGAAATAATCATTGCTGTTTTCATAATATACTAACAAATTCTTGTTTTCATCAGACTTTTGTACACTCCCCATACCCTATTAGGGGTGAACACTGTTCGAAGAGTGTGCTGTAAAGTGTTTCCGGTGGTTTTCATCAATCCAGATGGGTTGATAAGCGAGGTTACTATTCCATTCCACTTGGCATTAGGGTGAGTAGTAGGAGTGTCAAGTCTCCAACATCCATATAAAGATAACTGTAGTTACTCCTTTTTTTCATCCAGTTGAGAAAGTGCATGCAAGGTTCTCATTGTTTTATTCTGTTGTAAGTTTGCAAGTAATTGTATCGAGTCTGTAACTTGTACTTCCACACCAGTGTAGTTTTATCCCAGCCTCTCACTTTTTTTAACTTGATATCTTGTACATAATTCTTTCAGAGAAAATGAGAATGAGAATGTGTGAGAAAATGAGAATGTGTGAGAAAATGAGAATGTGTGAGAAAATGAGAATGTGAGAAAATGGGAATGTGGGAGAAAATGGGAATGTGGGAGAAAATAGAAATATGGGAGAAAATGGGAATGTGGGAGAAAATAGAAATATGGGAGAAAATGGGAATGTGGGAGAAAATAGATTTTTTTTTTTTTAACAAGTTGGCCGTCTCCCACCGAGGCAGGGAGAAAATAAGAGTGAGAGAGGAAAGAACTTGTGTGCAAGAGATCAGGTAAAAAAAAAAAAAAATAAGATGACCTAAGATATCAGTGGTGTGGAAGAACAGGCTGACTTTCTAGATTTAAAATAAATAAATTAGCAAACTTAAAAGAGAAATAACTATTGTTTCATTCCACAGTCATTCTACAGAGCTCAATTATTCCTGTGATCTTTTGTCTGCACTTTATCATTAAGTCAAATTGTGATATCTTCTGGGCAGTAGTTAGTTAAGTATTAATGACTGGGGAAACTTTTTTCTTTGATGTGGCCTTCACTAAAAATAATTTTTTTTTGCTATGGTGACTTTTCATTATTGCTAATTCAGTTTAGGTGCCAGTTATTGAGCACCTGTTATAGTGCATCATATTTCTGATGTGCAACTTATTGTGGTATTGGCAAAATTTGTAAAAGCAGGTTGTATTCACATTTTCTGGGGAAAGGAGAGTTTGAGAGCTCGATTTTTTTTATGATTAATTTCTCCATTCTTTTAGTGGGAAAACTAGTAAACGTGCTCGAGATCTTCACCTTGTAAAGACTCTCAAGTCCCACCTAAGGAGTGGAAATGAAGAAGAAGTCTTGACCACCATGACGGAGATCAAGACCGCAGGAGTGCGTAAACTGGCTGTGACAACGCTCATCATGTCTCAGCATCTCACTGTACTGTTGTTACAAGGACTGCTTCATCATTTTCTCCCTCTCTATGGTGTAATGGAGACAGAAAATGGTATGTGAAGAGATATTACCAATTGCATTACTTATATTTAGGAGAAATGTTTCAATACCTTTGAATTTCTGTGAAGGAATTACACATTGCAGAATAAATTTTGTATGGGAGAATAAAAGCTTTTTTTGAATGTGAGCAAAGAAACATTTATGAAGAGATTCAGAGGAAACTGGTTAACCATTTTCCTGGAGGTGAACAGCACATTTCCAGCATTAAAGAAGAAGTGGGATGTTGCAATTTGGAGAGCTATCTAAACTGTGATGGCAGCATGTTTCTGGCAAGACGGCTACTTTTTTTTTTTTTTTAAGTTTACCTTCATTGGTGGAAGACAGCTGCGTTAAAAAAGAAAAACTTTTTCTGCAACTTGTCTTAAACCTCACTGTTGGCAGCAGTATGTATTAATGAAACTGCAACTGCACAGTATTGAAAGTACAGTGGACCCTCGAATTTCGTCATCACTTTTCTGTATGTAAAACTATGGTTATTCTCTATAAAATGTATTTTTTGTTAATATTTTCCATAAGAAATAATGTAAATCCAATTAAACCATTCCAGACACCCAAAAATATTAACCCTTACAGGGTTTTTGACGTACTAGTACGGCTTACGAACCAGGGTTATTGACGTACTAGTACGCCTAAATTCTAGAGCCTTCAGATCTGGCGAGAGAAAGCTGGTAGGCCTACATATGAAAGAATGAGTCTGTGGTCAGTGTGCGCAGTATAAAAAAAATCCTACAGAACACAGTGTGTAATGAGAAAAAAAAAAACTTGGACCGTGTTTTTGGATTAAAACAGCGACTTTGCACTGTATTTTCGTATGGTATTTATGGTTGTATTCTAGTTTTCCTGGTCTCATTTTATAGAATGAAAGACATATTACAGAAATTGAGATGATTTTGACTGGTCTCACAATAAAAAGTACTTTGAAATTGAGCTCAAAGTAGCAAAAATGTTCGATTTTTACCAAAGTTCAAAAGTAAACAAATCATGCCAAGCGTCGTCCAATACACGTCAACTGGCGAGTCTAATATTCTTTCACAAGTGCGCTGATATTATTTATATCATTTCTACACTAATGCAGTAGTCTGCATAACAGTAAATCTTCTATTTTTTGTAAGAATAAAAATTCAAAGTGGAAAGCAAAAGAAATGTAAGAGGGGCCTGGGGATGTGACTAATGAACAGAGGAAATGTCATTTTAGTGCCAGGAATGTCTCTCTTGTTTATTCTGGACCCTATTTGGAAATTGGCATCTTCAGAAATTTGTGTGAAATTGGCAAAATTGCCAATTTCTAACCACTTTATTGGGTAGTTGAAATTGGTAAATGGGTGGTTTCTTGTACTCATTTGATAAAAAAATGGAGTTCTAGCAAAATAAATATGATTTTTGTTGACTAGTACACAGGAATTGGCCGAAAATAGGGCTCAAAGTGGGCGAAATCGCCGATGTTTATGCATCGGCGAGACCGCTAACTTTGCGAGAGCATAATTCCGTAAGTTTTCCATTAAGTTTCGTACTTTTGGTTTTATATGAAAGGGAAAAGATTCTCTATCATTTCATAAGAAAAAATAATTTTTTTTTTTCCAAAAAATTTTTGACCCTGAGAACAAGTTTATGAGAGGGCCTCTCAACCCTGAAAGGGTCAACAAAAAATACATTTTATAGAGAATAACTATAGTTTTACATTCAGAAAAGGGATGATGAAATTCGAGGGTCCACATAGTAAAGTGGAATGAGCTAGGTAACAAAGTGGAAGTAGACTTCATGCAGGGATACGTGTGGAAATATGGTAAGAGCTAATTTTCACCCATGAAAAGTTAGAGGTGGGAGCAAGAGCTATAGGTTGGTCTATCTTCCCATCATATTAATTCATTCATTAGATTTATCACCACTCCATAATACTAGAGAGTGATTTCTTTTTTCTCTCTCTTTCCTTCTCCAAGTTATGAAACTTAAATATTCATTGGAAAATGCACAGCATAGATTATTGAATTTCAGCAGATTAATAGACTGAAAAGTGTTATTAATTGTAATCCTAAAATAATAAATCTGTGTGTTTTACAGATACATGCTAGTTGATTTTCTAGTATACTGTGTACTGATTTTTCTCATATGTTATACTGCAATGTACAGTGCTTTATTGATTTTTGTATAATATTTTTTCTAGGGGAGGGGACTCAAAATTTGGATCATGAGAGTTTGTTGCTTGGCCAGCAGTTGCTTCGCCTCAAGCAGTTGCTGAACTTGTACACCGTGCTAGTGCAGTTGCACACTGTCCGGGAAGCTTCACCAGATCCTGATGACCAAGCTTTAGTCACGGTCAGTCCGTAAATTTTCATTACTAAAATTAACAAGTCTTATGAAATATTTATTTATTTATTTTATGTCTTTGCAAACAGTACATTGAGATTTTGTATTTACAATAGTGGGTTCCAATGCAAAGAGAGCCTCTATTATGCCTAGGCATTATAGGCCAACTTAACATTATTGGCTTACAGACTATTTAACACAAAGGATTAAATCATAGATGTACAGTAGGATAGTAATTATTTCATAGTTGTACAGTAGATCATTAATTATAAGTAAATCAAATTTGTATAAGACAAAAGATATATTCATATATTCAAAAATGCTTTCTGTGAAAACAATGATTCAATTATATTCCTGTCAACAGTGGATAAAAGGTTCAAAGTGATTGTTGAAGTTATGATGTGGGAGTACATAAGTGAGTATGTGTGTACTGAGTATTTAGCATTGAGTTTAGGGTGATTAAGTGGCTTTTGAGAAGAGTCTTAAATTAATTTTCAGATATCAAAACACCATCTAGTAATGGGAAGATTGTTGGTATGGTTGTCAATTATTTTCCTATTTCTGAAGGGTTTTTAAAATCTTTGGGACCTGACGAGCTGTTGGAGTGTGAGCAGGGTAATATTTTGTGAAGGGATTCAGGGAAACCTGTTAGCCAGACTTGAGTCCTGCAGGTGGGAAGTACAATGCCTGCACTTTAATGGAGGGGTTTGGGATATTGGCTGTTTGGAGTGACATTTAAACTGTTGTATCTTTTTTGGTTTTTCTTTTTGGGTCACCCTGCCTCGGTGGGAAACAGCTGACGTGTTAAAAAAAAAAAATCTGAGCACCTCTGCAAAGGCAGTGATTATGTGTGATTGATGGTGAAAGTGTTGAATGATGGTGACAGTATTTTTTTTTGGGTCACCCTGCCTTGGTGAGAGACAGCCGACGTACTGAAAAAAAAATTAAACACATTCCTATCAACCTGGAGATTAGCAAATGCCAAAGATTTACAAACTTTTTCCTGTGTCTACTTACCTGCTCAGTGTGTCCTTTCACTTGGTCTTATTATCTCTTATGCACCCCCACTTAAGTACACTTTGTTCATCATCCTTTTGGTTATACTGACCTGTCATTATATACTAGAGCATATACTGAATAGGTGGTGGTAAAGTATGGTTAAGTTGTGATAATTGGTGTTAAAGTGACATTGTTCATTTGAACCAAAGGTGAAAGGTGTACTGTTGTTATGATCGGATGGTTGAATGATGATGAAAGTATTTTCTTTTTTGGGGAATTTCTTACTTTTTGGGTCACCCTGCCTCGGTGGGATACGGCCGGTGCCCAGCGGTGAGAGTAGCGACTTTCATTGCTGAGGTCCAGTTAATAAACCCTGGGCATTAACATAAACAAAAACATTTTCAGGTAGTAGGTTGGTAGACAGCAACCACCCAGGGAGGTACTACCGCTCTGCCAAGTGAGTGTAAAACGAAAGCCTGTAATTGTTTTACATGATGGTAGGATTGCTGGTGTCTTTTGTCTGTCTCATAAATATGCAAGATTACAGGTACGTCTTGCTACTTCTACTTACACTTAGGTCACACTAAACATACATGTACACGTTTATTTATACACACTCACCTGAGTTTTCTTTGATTTTATCTTAGTTCTTGTTCTAATTACTTTTCCTTTTATATCCATGGGGAAGTGGAATAAGGATCTTTCCTCCGTTAGCCATGCATGTTGTAAAAGTCAACTAAAATGCCGGGAACAATGGGCTAGTAACCCCTTTTCCTGTAAAAATTACTAAAAAGAATAATAATAATAAAAAGAAAATTGTCAAGGTGGGAAGTTTGAATGTGCATGGATGTTCTGCGAATGATAAGAAAGAGATGATTGTGGATGTTATGAATGAGAAGGAGCTGGATATCCTGGCTTTAAGTGAAACAAAGCTGAAGAGGGTGGGTGAGTTTCAGTGGAGAGGAATAAATGGGATTAGGTCAGTGGTTTCTAATAGTTAGAGCTAAAGAAGGAGTAGCAATAATGTTGAAGAATAAGCTATGGCAGGAAAAGAGGGTTGTGATGAATGGTTTGAAAAACCGACAAGTTGAAGATTGAGACACTTATGCAGCATATGGGAATCTTTATTCCCATATGCTGCATAAGTGTCTCAATCTTCAGGAAAAGAGGGACTATAAATGTATTAATTAAGGATTATGTGGAGGAAAATAAAGGTTGGATGTGAGAAGTGGGTTATAGTAAGCATTTATGCACCTGAGGAAGAGAGAAGTATAGAGGAGAGAGAGAGAGAGATTTTGGGAAATGTTGAGTAATTGCGTGGGGAGTTTTGAACCAAGTGTGAGAGTACTTGTGGTTGGGGATTTTAATGCTAAAGTGGGAAAAAATGTTGTGGAGGGAGTAGTAGGTAAATTTGGGATGCCAGGGGTAAATGAAAATGGGGAGTCTTTAATTGAGCTATGTGTAGAAAGAGGTTTGGAAATAAGTAATACATATTTTATGAAAAAGAGGATAAATAAATATACAAGGTATGATGTAGCACATAATGAAAGTAGTTTATTAGATTATGTATTGGTGGATAAAAGGTTGATGGGTAGGCTCCAGATGTACACGTTTATAGAGGGGCAACTGATGTATCGGATCATTATCTAGTTGTAGCTACAGTTAGAGTAAGAGGTAGATGGGATAAGAGGAAAATGGCAACAACAAGTAAGAGGGAGGTGAAAGTGTATAAACTAAGGGAGGAGGAAGTTCGGGTGAAATATAAGCAACTATTGGCAGAAAGGTGGGCTGGTGCAGGTATGAGTAGTGGGGGGCTTGAAGAGAGTTGGAATAGTTTTAAAAATGCAGTATTAGAATGTGGGGCTGAAGTTTGTGGTTATAGGAGGGTGGGTGCATGAGGAAAGAGGAGTGATTGGTGGAATGATGAAGTAAAGGGTGTGATAAAAGAGAAAAAGGTAGCTTATGAGAGGTATTTACAAAGCAGAAGTGTTATAAGAAGAGTAGAGTACATTGGACCCCCGGTTTACGATATTATTTCATTCCAGAAGTATGTTCAGGTGCCAGTACTGAACGAATTTGTTCCCATAAGGAATATTGTGAATTAGATTAGTCCATTTCAGACCCCCAAACATACACGTACAAACGCACTTACATAAATACACTTACTTAATTGGTTGCATTGGGAGGTGATCGTGAAGCGGGGGTCCACTGTATATGGAGAGTAAAAGAAAGGTGAAGAGAGTGGTGAGAGAGTGCAAAAGGAGAGTGGATGATAGAGTGGGAGAGGTACTGTCAAGGAATTTTAATCAAAATAAGAAAAAATTTTGGAGTGAGTTAAACAAGTTAAGAAAGCCTAGGGAACAAGTGGATTTATCAGTTAAAAACAGAAAAGGGGAGTTAGTAGATGAGGAGATGGAGGTTTTGGGTAGACGGCAAGAATATTTTGAGGAACGTTTAAATGTTGACGAAGAAAGGGAGGTTGTAATTTCATGCACTGGCCAGGGAGGTATATCATCTTTTAGGAGTGAAGAAGAGCAGGATGTGAGTGTGGGGGAGGTGCGCGAGGCATTACGTAGACTGAAAGGAGGTAAAGCAGCTGGAACTGACGGGATCATGACAGGAATGTTAAAAGCAGAGGGGGATATAGTGTTGGAGTGGTTGGTATTTTTGTTTAATAAATGTATGAACGAGGAGAAGGTACCTAGGGATTAGCGGAGAGCGTGTATAGTCTCTTTATATAAAGGGAAAGGGGACAAAAGAGATTGTGAAAATTATAGAGGAATAAGTTTACTGAGTATACCAGGAAAAGTGTACGGTAGGGTTATTATTGAAAGAATTAGAGGCAAGACAGAATGTAGAATTGCGGATGAGCAAGGTTTCAGAGTGGGTAGGGTATGTGTAGATCAAGTGTTTACATTGAAGCATATATGTGAGCATTATTTAGATAAAGGTAGGGAAATTTTTATTGCATTTATGGATTTAGAAAAGGTATATGATAGAGTGGATAGGGGAGCAATGTGGCAGATGTTGCAAGTGTATGGAATAGGTGGTAAGTTACTAAATGCTGTGAAGAGTTTTTATGAGGATAGTGAGGCTCAGGTTAGGGTGTGTAGAAGAGAGGGAGACTACTTCCCAGTAAAAGTAGGTCTTAGACAGAGATGTGTTATGTCACCATGGTTGTTTAATATATTTATAGATGGGGTTATAAAAGAAGTAAATGCTAGGGTGTTTGGGAGAGGGGTGGGATTAAATTATGGGGAATTAAATACAAAATGGGAAGTGACAGTTACTTTTTGCTGATGATGCTGTGCTTATGGGAGATTCTAAAGAAAAATTGCAAAGGTTAGTGGATGAATTTGGGAATGTGTGTAAAGGTAGAAAGTTGAAAGTGAACATAGAAAAGAGTAAGGTGATGAGAGTATCAAATGATTTAGATAAAGAAAAATTGTATATCAAATTGGGGAGGAGGAGTATGGAAGAAGCGAATGTTTTCAGATATTTGGGAGTTGACATGTCAGCGGATGGATTTATGAAGGATGAGGTTAATCATAGAATTGATGAAGGAAAAAAGGTGAGTGGTGCATTGAGGTGTATGTGGAGGCAAAAAATGTTATCTGGAGGCAAAGAAGGGAATGTATGAAAGTATAGTAGTACCAACACTCTTATATGGGTGTGAAGCTTCGGTAGTAAATGCTGCAGCAAGGAGGCGGTTGGACGCAGTGGAGATGTCCTGTCTAAGAGCAATGTGGGGTGTAAATATTATGCAGAAAATTCGGAGTGTGGAAATTAGGAGAAGGTGTGGAGTTAATAAAAGCATTAGTCAGAGGGCTGAAGAGGGGTTGTTGAGGTGGTTTGGTCATTTAGAGAGAATGGATCAAAGTAGAATGACATGGAGAGCTTATAAATCTGTAAGGGAAGGAAGGCGGGGTAGAGGTCGTCCTCGAAAAAGTTGGAGGGAGGGGGTAAAGGATGTTTTGTGGGCGAGGGGCTTAGACTTCCAGCAAGCGTGCGTGAGCGTGTTAGATAGGGTTGAATGGAGACGAATGGTATTTGGGACCTGACGATCTGTTGTAGTGTGAGCAGGGTAATATTTAGTGAAGGGATTCAGGGAAACCGGTTATTTTTATATAGCCGGAATTGAGTCGTGGAAATGGGAAGTATAATGCCTGCACTCTAAAGGAGGGGTTTGGGATATTAGCAGTTTGGAGGGATATGTTGTTTATCTTTATAGGTATATGCTTCTAAGCTGTTGTTCTGAGCACCTCTGGATTTTCTTTTTTGGGTCACCCTGCCTCGGTGAGACACAGCCGACTTGTTAAAATAAATATAAATGTTACATATATAATATATATTTTTTTTTTTTCAACAAGTCTGCCGTCTCCCACCGAGGCAGGGTGACCCAAAAAAGAAAGAAAATCCCCAAAAAGAAAATACTTTCATCATCATTCAACACTTTCACCACACTCACACATTATCACTGTTTTTGCAGAGGTGCTCAGAATACAACAGTTTAGAAGCATATACATATAAAGATACACAACATATCCCTCCAAACTGCCAATATCCCAAACCTCTCCTTTAAAGTGCAGGCATTGTACTTCCCATTTCCAGGACTCAAGTCCGACTATATGAAAATAACCGGTTTCCCTGAATCCCTTCACTAAATATTACCCTGCTCACACTCCAACAGATCGTCAGGTCCCAAGTACCATTCGTCTCCATTCACTCCTATCTAACACGCTCACGCATGCTTGCTGGAAGTCCAAGCCCCTTGCCCACAAAACCTCCTTTACCCCCTCTCTCCAACCGTTTCGAGGACGACCCCTAAGTCGCCTTCCTTCCCCTATAGATTTATATGCTTTCCATGTCATTCTACTTTAATCCATTCTCTCTAAATGACCAAACCACCTCAACAACCCCTCTTCTGCCCTCTGACTAATGCTTTTATTAGCTCCACACCTCCTCCTAATTTCCACACTCCGAATTTTCTGCATAATATTTACACCATACATTGCCCTTAGACAGGACATCTCCACTGCCTCCAACCGTCTCCTCGCTGCTGCATTTACCACCCAAGCTTCACATCCATATAAGAGTGTTGGTACTACTATACTTTCATACATTCCCTTCTTTGCCTCCATAGATAACGTTTTTTGACTCCACATATACCTCAACGCACCACTCACCTTTTTTCCCTCATCATATATATATATATATATATATATATGTACACAGTGGTCCCTCGCTTTTCGTAGTTCTCAGCAATCGTAAATTTTGCCGATCATAGGTGTATTTTCGTATAAACATGGACTCGCTTTTCATAGGTTGACTGGCGAATAGTAGTTCCGGGACGCGTATGCACGGTGTGAGCCGGGGCAGCCTCCCAACCCAGCCAGTCTGGCATTGTTTACCAGTGAGTGAAGGTCCCCTCAAGTGCTTCTACGAAATATTTCATAATATTCCACTCATTTTAGTGCTTGCAAGTACTAAATAAGCTACCATGGCTTCAAAGAAAGCTCCTAGTGCCAAGCCTGTGGTAAAGAAGGTGAGAAATATGTACAGTGACAGTCTTGGGCCATTTTAGGGAAGTGTTAGATGCGCCAGAAACAGAGCTCTCTCCACAGTTACTTTGTGAGACAAGAGTAGAGTGACTCTCAAGGTGGTCCTAGTGGCATTAAGAAACAGAGAAGAGAAGCAACCCCAGAGAAGCAATTGGTACCTGAGGTGTTGCTGGAAGGGGATTCCCCTTCCAAACTGTAAACAATCCAATCTCTCTCCTCCTCCAGTCTCCCATACACTAAGAAGAATCTCCAATAAAGGTAAGTGTTAAGCTATTAATGTTTCATTCATCATTTCCCATTGTATTGTTTATGTACTACATGTATATTTCATGTAAAAAAGTTTTTTGTTTTAATGCTTCTGGGTGTCAGTAACAGATTAATTGTATTTACATTATTTCTTATGGGGAAAATTTATTCGCAGATCGTAAATTTCGTTTATAGTAACGGCTCCAGGAACGGATTAATTACGAAAAACGAGGGACCACTGTATATATATATATATGTATATATATATATGTATTATAGGTAGTAGGTTGGTAGACAGCAACCGCCCAGGGAGGTGCTACCGTCCTGCCAAGCGAGTGTAAAACGAAAGCCTGTAATTGTTTTACATGATGGTAGGATTGCTGGTGTCCTTTTTTCTGTCTCATGAACATGCAAGATTTCAGGTACGTCTTGCTACTTCTACTTACACTTAGGTCACACTACACATACATGTACAAGCACATATATACACACCCCTCTGGGTTTTCTTCTATTTTCTTTCTAGTTCTTATTCTTGTTTATTTCCTCTTATCTCCATGGGGAAGTGGAACAGAATTCTTCCTCCGTAAGCCATGCGTGTTGTAAGAGGCAACTAAAATGCCGGGAGCAAGGGGCTAGTAACCTCTTCTCCTGTATATATTACTAAATGTAAAAGGAGAAACTTTCGTTTTTCCTTTTGGGCCACCCCGCCTCGGTGGGATACGGCCGGTGTGTTGAAAGAAGAAGAAGAATATATATATGTATTATAGGTAGTAGGTTGGTAGACAGCAACCGCCCAGGGAGGTGCTACCGTCCTGCCAAGCGAGTGTAAAACGAAAGCCTGTAATTGTTTTACATGATGGTAGGATTGCTGGTGTCTTTTTATTGTCTCATACACATGCAAGATTTCAGGTATGTCTTGCTACTTCTACTTACACTTAGGTCACACTACACATACATGTACAAGCACATATATACACACCCCTCTGGGTTTTCTTCTATTTTCTTTCTAGTTCTTATTCTTGTTTATTTCCTCTTATCTCCATGGGGAAGTGGAACAGAATTCTTCCTCCGTAAGCCATGCGTGTTGTAAGAGGCAACTAAAATGCCGGGAGCAAGGGGCTAGTAACCTCTTCTCCTGTATATATTACTAAATGTAAAAGGAGAAACTTTCGTTTTTCCTTTTGGGCCACCCCGCCTCGGTGGGATACGGCCGGTGTGTTGAAAGAAAGATATATGTATTATAGGTAGTAGGTTGGTATACAGCAACGCCCAGGAGTCTATTACCCGTCCTGCCAAGCGGTAGTAAAACGAAAGGCCTGCTAATTGTTTTACATGATGGTAAGGATTGCTGGTGTCTTTTTTCTGTCTCATACACATGCAAGATTTCAGGTATGTCCTGCTACTTCTACTTACACTTAGGTTACACTTCACATACATGTACAAGCATATATACACGCACCCCTCTGGGTTTTCTTCTATTTTCTTTCTAGTTCTTGTTCTTGTTTATTTCCTCTTACCTCCATGGGGAAGTGGAACAGAATTCTTCCTCCGTAAGCTATGCGTGTTGTAAGAGGTGACTAAAATGCCAGGAGCAAGGGGCTAGTAACCCCTTCTCCTGTATATATTACTAAATGTAAAAGGAGAAACTTTCGTTTTTTCTTTTGGGCCACCCCGCCTCGGTGGGATGCGGCCGGTGTGTTGAAAGAAAGAAAGAATATATAATTTTTTTTTTTTTTGAGATTCTTTTGTCCTTTCAGGAATTAGCCAAGCTCCTATTGTTGACTCCACATGAAACTGAAGAGGTAGTAGCAGGGTGTGAACGTAATGGCTACTCAAAGCGTCTTAGTACTAGAAAGGTACTATTAATTTTTCTGTAAGAGCGAGAAGTTTTGAGGATGAAAATCACTTTTATTAGAAATACAGTATAATTGTTGATACAGGTCACAGGTGGTAGCACAGTACCATGTACACACTGAATTTCACAACCTTGTCTTGTCTTGGATATATAATGTGGATTGAATACCAAAGTGATGACCATAATTTGTAATGTGTATGTTTGGTTATTGCAGATTATACAACATAGGATGCTGGTAGTTATACTACTTTGTTTTTTTGCCAGGTGAAATTCTCGGAGTGTGCGCAAAATCTAACCATCGGTTCATTTATACGCTGTTGGGACGTGTCTGTGGGTACGCTGGTGAAGAATGGCAGTGTCCTCGGTGCTTCCAGTTGAATTAAAAGAAGACTTGCCCTCGGAGAAGAAGCTAAGGCTTGGTAAATATTGATTATACAGCAATTTTAATTTTTAACCTAATTCAGTACTACATACTGTACAGGTTGCCCTTCCTTTATGCTATTTTGCCTTGTGTGAATTTGCTCTCATGCGATGACCCTCTGGCTGACAGTAATTCACTATAAACTGTTTAAATTTACTTGAATGTAATAACCCAAGCCCAGTACCACTTGTTTTTTTAACAATATCATGAGAAGGACTTGAAGAAGAAAAAATTGGTTTGAGAAATTAAATGCATATATTTTGAATGAAATTCTATGGTTAGTTTTCATTTTCAGTGTTTTCCACCAAGTCAAAAAAATAAATGCCTGGCCAGAAAAAATTGGGTTGCAATAGCAGGAGAGTTGGGGCTAGGGGTTAGAGGGAGGGAGGAAATAGTAGCAGGATGATAAGTATTCACGGGCTCATGATATATGCATATCACTCCAGACAGGACAGGCCGGTTAGTTGGTTGGTGTTTTAGGAAGGAGGTAGGGTATAAGGAAGGAGGAATATATTGAATTTTGAATTTAACTATATTCTCATATTTTTTTTTTTTTAACCAGTTGCATATTTTTTTTTTTAACAAGTCGGCCGTCTCCCACCGAGGCAGGGTGATCCAAAAAGAAAGAAAATCCCCAAAAAGAAAATACTTTCATCATCATTCAACACTTTCACCTCACTCACACATAATCACTGTTTTTGGAGAGGTGCTCAGAACACAACAGTTTAGAAGCATATACGTATAAAGATACACAACATATCCCTCCAAACTGCTAATATCCCGAAACCCCTCCTTTAGAGTGCAGGCATTGTACTTCCCACTTCCAGGACTCAGTTGCATTTACTGTATTTTTATTATATCACTGTTTGTTGACTATCTGGTTTGTTTATAACTCTTTGGTAAAAATAAGCAAAGAAATATATAAAAAACAAAAAATCAGTACTGTTTTCTGACTATATAGATTTTGATAATTGTAAACTAGTTTTTTCCTCCATATTTATGTGAAAAAAAAAATGCGTAATCAAACCTTATTGTGGCCTTTCCAAACCTCAATTTGACGAAGTGACACATGAATTTTGGGACTATAATTTGCACTTTAGTCATTGGAAGTTTTGATATAGTACTTAGAATCAGGCCATATTATGTGGTATAGACACTCTTGTCTGTCCAGTTCATTCAAGCTAAAGTGGTTATGTCATGAGACAAAAATGTTTTGGTCTCTAATTATTCTTTGTAATGGTTGTTCCTACCTTTCGCCATTCTTATTTCAAAATTTATTCTATAATTATTAATGACATAATAAAAAATTTGAGATTCTGTAAGGGTAAAACCTTAATAATGAATATATATTTGTAGTCATTTGTAGCAAACACTTTGCAACTTTTTACCCGAACTTAATGTACTGTTCATGTGTCCAGTTTCATGAATGTTTTTAATTTTTTTTTTTATATATATTGTATACAAATTTTTCTTTCCAGGTGAATTCCTGTATAGATGGTCATGGCATGGCGAGAGTGTGAAATTGTTCAGCAAGACTGTGGAGGCCAGTGGTGCAAACTTGGAGTCATTGCTTCACTTGGCTCTCATACATTGGTCCCTCAGTCCTCAACCAGATACAGTGGCTGTACTCCATTTTGGAACCATTATACATGTACTCTCTGCATTAGCAGGTGAGACTGACAATGTAAAGACTTTTCTTCTTAGGATTCTCTTGGTATTTTCTTTTTCAAGTTAACGCTTTAATTATTTTTGCTATTTCTAACAGTGAAATGGAATTCAAGAAGAAGATAAGTAGTCAGTGTTACAATCACTGGAAATCTTTCTTTCTTTCTTTCAACAAACCGGCCATATCCCACTGAGGCAGGATGGCCCAAAAAAGGAAAACGAAAGTTTCTCTTTTTAACTTCAGTAATGTATACAAGAGAAAGGGTTACTAGCCCCTTGCTCCCGGCATTTTAGTCACCTCTTATGACACACATGGCTTACAGAGGAAGAATTCTGTTCCACTTCCCCATGGAGATAAGGAATAAACAAGAACAAGAACTAGCAAGAAAATAGAAGAAAACCCAGAGGGGTGTGTATATATATGCTTGTACATGCATGTGTAGTGTGACCCAAGTGTAAGTAGCATGACGTACCTGAAATCTTGCATGTTTATGAGACAGAAAAAAGACACCAGCAATACAACAATCATGTAAAACAGTTACAGGCTTCCATTTTACACTCGGCAGGATGGTAGTATCTCTCTGGGTGGTTGCTGTTTACCAACCTACTACCTAGAAAAAACAAAGTTATCTAATTTTTTTTATTTTTTCAGGTGATAAAGTTCTCTGTGATATTGCTGAACAGAGTAAGTGGTGGAATGCAGTGAGGGACAAGTTGGTAGCATCCACACAACCCTACCACGCATTCATGGCTGCACTTCTTTGTAGAGGCACCCATGCCAACCTTGAAACACACTCGCATCAGCCTGAAAAGAACGAAGGAACTGAGCCAAGCAAGATGGATGTTGACCAAGCTGCCGAAGTCTCATATCCTTCATTGAATGACTGGGAAAGTTTGTCTATGGAGATGGCAGAGTGGAATTTAGTGCTGTGGCAGCTGGAATGTCTAATGCCACTGAGTCAACTCCTGTCACTCTTGCCACCAAATGGCTCAGAAAGAAGACTAAAACTTGAAGTCTCTGTCAAAGCTTTGCTTGATAAGGGTAAAGGTATGTGAAGTATTCCAGCATTTGAAGATTGAATGTATTGCATTTTCTCAATAATATTTTTTTTTTATTAACACACAAAGCCTTCTCCCACCAAGGCAGGGTGACCCGAAAAAGAAAAACTTTCATCATTCACTCCATCACTGTCTTGCCAGAGGTGCATTTACACTACAGTTATAAAACTGCAACATTAACACCCCTCCTTCAGTGTGCAGACACTGTAAATCCCATCTCCAAGAATCATGTCCGACCTACCAATTTCCCTGACTTCATTCATAAATGTTACCTTGTTCACACTCCAACAGTACAAGTTCTAAAAACCATTTGTCTCCATTTGCTCTTATCTAACATGTTCATGCATGCTTGATGGAAGTCAAAGCCCCTCGCACACAAAACCTCCTTTACCCCCACTCTCCAACATTTCCTAGGCCGACCCCTACCCCGCCTTCCCTCCACTACACATTTATACACTCTTGAAGTCATTCTATTTTGTTCCAGTCTCTCTACATGTCCGAACCATCTCAACAACCCCTCCTCAGCCCTCTGGATAATAGTTTTGGTAATCCTGCACCTCCTCCTAATTTCCAAACTACAAATTCTCTGCATTATATTCACACCACACATTGCCCTCAGACATGATGTCTCCACTGCCTCCAGCCTTCTCCTTGTTGCAATGTTCACCACCCATGTTTCACACCCATATAAGAGTGTTGGTATAACTGTACTCTCATGCATTCCCTTCTTTGCTTCAGTGGACAAAGTTTTTTTGTCTCCACAGACTCCTAAGTGCACCACTCACCTTTTTCCCCTCATCAATTCTATGATTCACCTCATCTTTCATAGATCCATCTGGAGAGAGAGAGTTTATCTGGAGAGAGTTCCGGGGGTCAACGCCCCCGCGGCCCGGTCTGTGACCAGGCCTCCTTAGGTCAGTGTCCCAGGATGCGACCCACACCAGTCGACTAACACCCAGGTACCCATTTTACTGATGGGGAACATAGACAACAGGTGGAAAGAAACACGTCCAATGTTTCTACTCTGGCTGGGAATCGAACCCAGGCCCTCACCGTGTGAAGCGAGAGCGTTAACCACCAGGCCACCAGAGCCCCTGCTGACACATCCACTCCTAAATTTTTTTTTTTTTTTTTTCAACAAGTTGGTCGTCTCCCACCGAGGCAGGGTGACCCAAAAAAGAAAAAATCCCCAAAAAGAAAATACTTTCATCATCATTCAACACTTTCACCACACTCACACATTATCACTGCTTTTGCAGAGGTGCTCAGAATACAGCAGTTTAGAAGCATATACGTATAAAGATACACAACATATCCCTCCAAACTGCCAATATCCCAAACCCCTCCTTTAAAGTGCAGGCATTGTACTTCCCATTTCCAGGACTCAAGTCCGACTATAAGAAAATAACTGGTTTCCCTGAATCCCTTCACTAAATATTACCCTGCTCACACTCCAACAGATCGTCAGGTCCCAAGTATCATTCGTCTCGTATCATTCGTCTCCATTCACTCCTATCTAACACGCTCATGCACGCTTGCTGGAAGTCCAAGCCCCTCGCCCACAAAACCTCCTTTACCCCCTCTTTCCAACCCTTTCGAGGACGACCCCTACCCCTCTTTCCTTCCCCTATAGATTTATATGCTTTCCATGTCATTCTACTTTGATCCATTCTCTCTAAATGACCAAACCACCTCAACAACCCCTCTTCTGCCCTCTGACTAATGCTTTTATTAACTCCACACCTTTTCCTAATTTCCACACTCCGAATTTTCTGCATAATATTTACACCACACATTGCCCTTAGACAGGACATCTCCACTGCCTCCAACCGTCTCCTCGCTGCTGCATTTACCACCCAAGCTTCACATCCATATAAGAGTGTTGGTACTACTATACTTTCATACATTCCCTTCTTTGCCTCCATAGATGACGTTTTTTGACTCCACATATACCTCAACGCACCACTCACCTTTTTTCCCTCATCAATTCTATGATTAATCTCATCCTTCATAAATCCATCCGCCGACACGTCAACTCCCAAGTATCTGAAAACATTCACTTCTTCCATACTACTCCTCCCCAATTTGATATCCAATTTTTCTTTATCTAAATCATTTGATACCCTCATCACCTTACTCTTTTCTCTGTTCACTTTCAACTTTCTACCTTTACACACATTCTCAAACTCATCCACTATCCTTTGCAATTTTTCTTTAGAATCTCCCATAAGCACAGTATCATCAGCAAAAAGTAACTGTGTCAATTCCCATTTTGAATTTGATTCCCCATAATTTAATTCCACCCTTCTCCCGAACACCCTAGCATTTACTTCTTTTACAACCCCATCTATAAATATATTAAACAACCATGGTGACATTACACATCCCTGTCTAAGACCTACTTTTACCAGGAAGTAGTCTCCCTCTCTTCTACACACCCTAACCTGAGCCTCACTATCCTCATAAAAGCTCTTTACAGCATTTAGTAACTTACCACCTATTCCATAAACTTGCAACATCTGCCACATTGCTCCTCTATCCATTCTATCATATGCCTTTTCTAAATCCATAAATGCAATAAAAACTTCCCTACCTTTATCTAAATACTGTTCACATATATGCTTCAATGTAAACACTTGATCTACACATCCCCTACCCACTCTGAAGCCTCCTTGCTCATCCGCAATTCTACATTCTGTCTTACCTCTAATTCTTTCAATTATAACTCTACCGTATACTTTTCCTGTTTTTTTTTTTTTTATTATCACACCGGCCGATTCCCACCAAGGCAGGGTGGCCCGAAAAAGAAAAACTTTCACCATCATTCACTCCATCACTGTCTTGCCAGAAGGGTGCTTTACACTACAGTTTTTAAACTGCAACATTAACACCCCTCCTTCAGAGTGCAGGCACTGTACTTCCCATCTCCAGGACTCAAGTCCGGCCTGCCGGTTTCCCTGAATCCCTTCATAAATGTTACTTTGCTCACACTCCAACAGCACGTCAAGTATTAAAAACCATTTGTCTCCATTCACTCCTATCAAACACGCTCACGCATGCCTGCTGGAAGTCCAAGCCCCTCGCACACAAAACCTCCTTTACCCCCTCCCTCCAACCCTTCTAGGCCGACCCCTACCCCGCCTTCCTTCCACTACAGACTGATACACTCTTGAAGTCATTCTGTTTTCGCTCCATTCTCTCTACATGTCCGAACCACCTCAACAACCCTTCCTCAGCCCTCTGGACAACAGTTTTGGTAATCCCGCACCTCCTCCTAACTTCCAAACTACGAATTCTCTGCATTATATTCACACCACACATTGCCCTCAGACATGACATCTCCACTGCCTCCAGCCTTCTCCTCGCTGCAACATTCATCACCCACGCTTCACACCCATATAAGAGCGTTGGTAAAACTATACTCTCATACATTCCCCTCTTTGCCTCCAAGGACAAAGTTCTTTGTCTCCACAGACTCCTAAGTGCACCACTCACTCTTTTTCCCTCATCAATTCTATGATTCACCTCATCTTTCATAGACCCATCCGCTGACACGTCCACTCCCAAATATCTGAATACGTTCACCTCCTCCATACTCTCTCCCTCCAATCTGATATTCAATCTTTCATCACCTAATCTTTTTGTTATCCTCATAACCTTACTCTTTCCTGTATTCACCTTTAATTTTCTTCTTTTGCACACCCTACCAAATTCATCCACCAATCTCTGCAACTTCTCTTCAGAATCTCCCAAGAGCACAGTGTCATCAGCAAAGAGCAGCTGTGACAACTCCCACTTTGTGTGTGATTCTTTATCTTTTAACTCCACGCCTCTTGCCAAGACCCTCGCATTTACTTCTCTTACAACCCCATCTATAAATATATTAAACAACCACGGTTATAAACAGACTTGTTCCCCTATAATTTTTGCACACACTTTTGTCCCCTTTGCCTTTATACAAAGGAACTATGCACACTCTCTGCCAGTCTCAAGGTATCTTACCCTCTTCCATACAGTTATTAAATAAAGCACCAACCACTCCAAAACTATATCCCCACATGCTTTTAACATTTATATCTTTATCCCATCAATCCCAGCTGCTTTACCCCCTTTCATTGTACTCACTGCCTCATGAACTTTCCCCACTTTCACAAGTGGTTCTTCCTCACTCCTACAAGATGTTATTCCTCCTTGCCCTGTACACGAAATCACAGCTACCCTATCTTCATCAACATTTAACAATTTCTCAAAATATTCCCTCCATCTTCCCAAAACCTCTATTTCTCGTTCCCTAGGCTTCCTCATCTTATTAATCTCACTCCAAAACTTTTTTATTTTCAACAAAATTTGTTGATAACATCTCATCCACTCTCTCATTTGCTGTCTTTTTTCATTGCTTCACCACTCTTTTAACCTCACTTTTTCTCTCCATATACTCCTCCCTCCTTGCATCACTACTACAATGTAAAAATTTATCATATGCTAACTTTTTCTCCCTTACTACTCTCTTTACATCATCATCCAACAATCACTCTTCTTCTCTCCCACACCAACTTTCCTGTAACCACAAACTTCTGCTGAACAGTCTAACACTATTCTTAAACCTACCCCATACATCTTTGACACCATTGTCTATACTCTCACTAGCCAATTTATCCTCCAGTAGTTGTTTATATTTTTACCCTAACTGCTTCCTCCTTTAGTTTATAAACCTTCACCTCTCTCTTACTTGCTGCTATATTTTCCTTGTATCCCATCTGCCTTTTACTCTCACTGTAGCTGCAACTAAAAAGTGATGTGACATATCTCTGGCCCTTCTATGAAAATGTACATCCTAAAGTCTGCTCAACAATCTTTTATCTACCAATACACTACTGTCATTATGCCCTACATCATATCTTGTATACTTACTTATCCTCTTTTTCTTAAAGAAACAATTAATGTTTAAAACTGTAATGGGGATAACTAATATACCCATATGCTTTTTACAGGTTATGTTGCAGAGCTGGTTGCAAACTGGTTTATAGGTTCTGGTTTGCCTTTAACTACCATTGAGAAGCTTCTCGTGCAACAAGATGTGTTCAGAAAATCCAAGGAAAGGGAGGATATGGAAGTTGAGAGTGTTGTTGACAAAGTGGCTGATGATAATCTGAAGTATTCCCCAGATTCTGCAGAAGTTACAGAGGAACTCAGGGCAGATGTTGAGACCTGTGAAGAAATTGATGGTAAGTGCTATGAAATCTTGTTGGGATTCCAAACCACCTTGAGAATTGAATCCCTCTACCTTGGTATCTTGCATCCTATCCAAGAATACTGTGTGTATAGTAGGGCCCCACTTATACGGCAGGTTAGGTTCCAGGTTACCGCCTTAAAGCAGGATGCCATTTTTTTCCTCTTATAAATGCCAGACAGTAAGCTTACACTAACTTACATTAAGTTAGTATTAGACTAGACATTAAAAAACACAGTACAAAGTAAAATACACGCACAGTACACTCATTACGTAACTTAAAATATTTGTAGTCTTAATGTAAGGTGAAAGATGAGTCGTATTTATTTGTAGGAAGTCAGGTGCAGGAAGTAAGGTAGCCAGTCAGGGCAGCCCACCCCACCCCACCTGACACCACCTCACCCACATGTAATGTATACAAACAGATGCATCTGCTTTGGGTTGATACACATTCATTCCCATGTCTGTGAATCGTATACCATAATACAAACACTTTACATTGTGTACAAGTTGTCTCCATGTTGATACAGTAGAATAAATAAAGAGGAACACTCCCATTCTCTTGTCCCACTATTTTTAGAAGAAATGAAGCTGTGAGTGAAGGCATATGAAGGTTACCCCCAGTAACATTATAGTGTACACATTTTCTCTGATGTTGGGCTGGAGAAAACGCTATTCTTGCCATCCCTCCTACAAGTCGCCTGGCTACCACATCTCATATTTATGTTAATTTATTCTACCGTGGGGTGTATTTATCATGTTTATATGTTACGTACCATGTTTATTATATAATTTTGTAGAAAATATCATAGATGGATTAATGGAAATGTCTATATTAACGTAATATACGACGTTTAATGTCCCCAAGAGATTATTATTATTAATATGGCATCAAGAGTAGAGAGAGACTTAGTGATTTTAATGTGTACCTGCATGCCAGTGTGTAAGTATGTTTAGGTACAGGTACACAAAAGTATAATTATCAGAGTTCACATAAAATATGCAATAGCTTTAAAACACTTGAAATTTTGGAAAGTTTCCATGCACAATAGAGAAATGGGCTCATGGAGAAGGTAAACAAACCGGGTGGGGCTCGCCGCATAAGAAAGATGGGTTGCCGTGTAGCGAGTTTTGGTCATAATTTTAAATTGCTGTAGTAATGGAATGCTGTAAGGCAAAACACATTTTCCAAGATATTTTCAACACGTCTATGACATCAAAGCAGAGGCATATACTTCTAGAGTTATTTTTAACCTCTCTTTTATTTCGTGCTGTCTTTTTTCTCCCAACAAAATTTCCTCCATATAACTATTAATTTTGAACATCTTATGTGAAATTTACTTTTTATGGGGTGGACTGGTAAGTTGTCAGAAGGCCACGACCAAATACAGTGGACCCCCGGTTTACGATATTTTTTTCATTCCAGAAGTATGTTCAGTTGCCAGTACTGACCGAATTTGTTCCCATAAGGAATATTGTGAATTAGATTAGTCCATTTCAGACCCCCAAACATACACGTACAAACGCACTTACATAAATACACTTACATAATTGGTCGCATTGGGAGGTGATCGTAAAGCGGGGGTCCACTGTAATTGTAAGCTTCACCGAGTCTAAATCTTTGCACATTAAGCATGTTTTACTTTAACTTTACACCACTTAAAATTTTTGCAATATTTTCAGAACTGCTGAAAAGAGTTGGTGAAAAATTTCCACACTCAGTAGCAGGTGATTCTATATTTACAAACATGGCTTGGGAACTAGCAGCAGCCTGGCACAAGACTCCTGATGACACCAGTATGCTCTCCAAGGCTTTGACTCACATTACGAGAATAAAGAATTCTCACATCAGACATGGTATGCCATGTGGTCATTTTACTGTGAATTTATTTTAATTTTCATCTCTCTCAAAGCTTATGTCAGATAGGCACTTAAGAGTCTGTTTAGATTAGATGTACTGGCTATAAATAAAATACTCAGTCACACACTTTGTGTTGGCAGCAAGCAGCGAGACAAATTAAAACCCATCCTGTGTACCACTGCAGTATGTCATTACTTGTGTCATAGGTTTACAAATGACTTGTGATAACCACAAAAAAATTATATTAGTCTACATTTAGATTGGCTTTATTTTTATTTCAGTTATTAATAACATTTACTGCTTTCCACCAAGGTAGTGACTGAAAGAAGAAAGTTCATTTTCCATCTCTCATTCCCTAGCTGCCTTCCAGAAATGCAGTCCTCATATTACGAATGATTCACCGAGCATTTTCAAGCTTATTTCAGAGTATTTGTCTTTGCTATTGATTTTTTTTTCCCAGGAGTGTCTTTAATGATATGGGAGACATGGGTGAGCCAGTGCGTGCAAGCTGCATCGAGTCTTATGGAAAAGGTGGGTCGGTTACCAAAAGACAGACTGTGCCGACGCGACTTGGGCCTTGGAGAACACAGCTTAGCACCCATGTTTCATATTGCCTTAGGAATACTAGAGCAAATAATGAATGTAAGTTGCATTTCTGCATTCGTAAATAATAATTCCGTTCAGTCATACAAAATATGATAAATTGGGGTGTTAATACCCCTTTTGAAGTGAAAAATATTCTTAATTTATTTTGACTTGGAGAAAGGATTGGGATTATGAAATCAGTATTTTGTTGCTAGGGTGAAATACCACTGTGATAATTAAATTGGCTGGCTTTTCAGCACTGGAAACATTCCTTAAATAATTTATAGAAAATATTCTTTGAGCTGCACTGTTCATAACCATTTATATGCATTTCTGTTGTAAGGCAAATGTAGTGTGCGAGGTTGAGAAGCCACTGGTACTATCAGCTGACAGATTTTGGATGGGTCAAGTGGGTTCCCCAGCATTAGTGGAGGTGACTATCATGCAGAAGATGACTTGTTACGACCTGGTTTACCTGCATTACCAGTTGTTGTCTGTTCTCTACCTCATATCCCAGCACAACCTGAAAGGTTTCAGACCTCTGACATGTTTTGATGGCAAGGTAAGTGTTAATATGTCTATTCAATTTATGTAAATTATGTTAAAAAAAATTGCATATCTTTTGTAATTTTTTCATCAAGGAACTTTTATCAAGCAAAATTTTTTGTCTCTTACTGGACTTATTGATAGTGCTTCATATAATTTTGTTTTGTTCAATCAGACTTCTTCAGATGTTATCCTTCATCAAACAATTCAGTCCGTGAACCTCATTCTTTGCAAGCTGTTAGTTTGTACTTTCTGCTCTTGTGATATTATTATTATTATTATTATAATCAAAGAGAAGTGCAAAGCCACAAGGGCTATACAGCGCTGCTGCTCTTGTGATAGATATCACCATATTAGTGTGGGGAAGTTACCTTTACCGTGTTTAACTGATGGCTCTTGAAGATAGTTCTAGAGCTGTCAGTGATGGACATGATTAAACTGTACTTACATGTCAAAACTTTTAGTAATTTCATCTTGCTTCAAAAGCTGAATTAATGGTAAAAGCAAAGTGGAATTTTCTTGTGATTTGGTTGCATGATATTAATGTATTACACATTGTTAATAATCAACTTATATCCTTATTGATGGGTTACCTGGGCTAACCTTATTGATGGGTTACCTGGGCTAACCTTATTGATGGATTACCTGGGCTAACCATATTGATGGGTTACCTAGGCTAACCATATTGATGGGTTACCTAGGCTAACCATATTGATGGGTTACCTGGGCTAACCTTATTGATGGATTACCTGGGCTAACCATATTGATGGGTTACCTAGGCTAACCATATTGATGGGTTACCTGGGCTAACCTTATTGATGGGTTACCTGGGCTAACCTTATTGATGGATTACCTGGGCTAACCATATTGATGGGTTACCTAGGCTAACCATATTGATGGATTACCTGGGCTAACCATATTGATGGGTTACCTAGGCTAACCATATTGATGGGTTACCTGGGCTAACCTTATTGATGGGTTACCTGGGCTAACCTTATTGATGGGTTACCTGAGCTAACCTTATTGATGGGTTACCTGGGCTAACCATATTGATGGGTTACCTGGGCTAACCTTATTGATGGGTTACCTGAGCTAACCTTATTGATGGGTTACCTGGGCTAACCATATTGATGGGTTACCTGGGGTAACCATATTGATGGGTTACCTGGGCTAACCATATTGATGGGTTACCTGGGCTAACCATATTGATGGGTTACCTGGGCTAACCATATTGATGGGTTACCTGGGCTAACCATATTGATGGGTTACCTGGGCTAACCATATTGATGGGTTACCTGGGCTAACCATATTGATGGGTTACCTGGGCTAACCATATTGATAGGTTACCTGGGCTAACCATATTGATGGGTTACCTGGGCTAACCATATTGATGGGTTACCTGGGCTAACCATATTGATGGGTTACCTGGGCTAACCATATTGATGGGTTACCTGGGCTAACCATATTGATGGGTTACCTGGGCTAACCATATTGATGGGTTACCTGGGCTAACCATATTGATGGGTTACCTGGGCTAACCATATTGATGGGTTACCTGGGCTAACCATATTGATGGGTTACCTGGGCTAACCATATTGATGGGTTACCTGGGCTAACCATATTGATGGGTTACCTGGGCTAACCATATTGATGGGTTACCTGGGCTAACCATATTGATGGGTTACCTGGGCTAACCATATTGATGGGTTACCTGGGCTAACCATATTGATGGGTTACCTGGGCTAACCATATTGATGGGTTACCTGGGCTAACCATATTGATGGGTTACCTGGGCTAACCATATTGATGGGTTACCTGGGCTAACCATATTGATGGGTTACCTGGGCTAACCATATTGATGGGTTACCTGGGCTAACCATATTGATGGGTTACCTGGGCTAACCATATTGATGGGTTACCTGGGCTAACCATATTGATGGGTTACCTGGGCTAACCATATTGATGGGTTACCTGGGCTAACCATATTGATGGGTTACCTGGGCTAACCATATTGATGGGTTACCTGGGCTAACCATATTGATGGGTTACCTGGGCTAACCATATTGATGGGTTACCTGGGCTAACCATATTGATGGGTTACCTGGGCTAACCATATTGATGGGTTACCTGGGCTAACCATATTGATGGGTTACCTGGGCTAACCATATTGATGGGTTACCTGGGCTAACCATATTGATGGGTTACCTGGGCTAACCATATTGATGGGTTACCTGGGCTAACCATATTGATGGGTTACCTGGGCTAACCATATTGATGGGTTACCTGGGCTAACCATATTGATGGGTTACCTGGGCTAACCATATTGATGGGTTACCTGGGCTAACCATATTGATGGGTTACCTGGGCTAACCATATTGATGGTTACCTGGGCTAACCATATTGATGGGTTACCTGGGCTAACCATATTGATGGGTTACCTGGGCTAACCATATTGATGGGTTACCTGGGCTAACCATATTGATGGGTTACCTGGGCTAACCATATTGATGGGTTACCTGGGCTAACCTTATTGATGGGTTACCTGGGCTAACCATATTGATGGGTTACCTGGGCTAACCATATTGATGGGTTACCTGGGCTAACCATATTGATGGGTTACCTGGGCTAACCTTATTGATGGGTTACCTGAGCTAACCTTATTGATGGGTTACCTGGGCTAACCATTGATGGGTTACCTGGGCTAACCTTATTGATGGGTTACCTGGGCTAACCTTATTGATGGGTTACCTGGGCTAACCTTATTGATGGGTTACCTGGGCTAACCTTATTGATGGGTTACCTGGGCTAACCTTATTGATGGGTTACCTGGGCTAACCATATTGATGGGTTACCTGGGCTAACCATATTGATGGGTTACCTGGGCTAACCTTATTGATGGGTTACCTGGGCTAACCTAGATGTAAATGAAGGCAGTTGGGATTTATTACTTTATATAAGAGAAATTTTAATGTTATAAAACATTTTAACTACTTCAGGGCCGTAGTGTTTTGTTCAATTCTTTGACAACGAGCTGGACCATAGGAGGTTACACTGATGCCACCATAGCCAAAGCACGTTTGGCTCTCCTGTGTCGAGTGATTACTGCCACAGTTACTTCTCTCCCAGACACTGCAGGTTCTGGCCAGGTTGGTTTTTCTACAGAGTAGGTTATTATTAATTGATAAGAGAAGCCCTGTAGGCAGATGTATACTCTGAATAACTTTTGTAGCCCTTTTTGGTAACTTTAACATATTTGTCCTCAGGGTACTTCACCAAGCATCAGACAAGCAATAGATCTGGGTAGGGCATGGGGAATATCTCTTGATGTCTTACATCGTCACCACATCTGCGAGCTCTATACATCGGGCTTTGATAGCATGGCCGAGGAAGTACGCATCTCTTATTCACTTGTTCCTTAAAACAAATATTGAACTTGTTTTAATTTGTACTGAAAATTATTTAAAAAATTAATCTGTGATCCATAATCTTCAGGTGGTGCCAGTGGTCAATGATGGACCATTGTTGGGGTCACAGTTAGTGTTGATTGCAGGACAAAGGCTCCACTATTTCCTTGTGAACTCCTCGTATACTGCGCATCATTTAGCATTGATGTCACCTACTATTACTGAATGGGTCAAATCCTGTGTAAGCTATTAGCATTTCTTATTGACTGTGAGGTACTGTAGTTACATTGTATAGTGCATATTTATTTAATTTTTAGATTTTTGTTAGTTCAAAAATTTTCTACTCTTATGATTTTTGAGATTATGTAATTATTGTTTAGATATAACTGGATTTTTTTTTTTTTTTTTTTTTCCCATTTTAAATCCTCTAATTTTTTTTCCCACTTCAGGATTCCGGGAGTCTACGTTGTCCGGCTGTGCCACTAGAGAAAACATTGAACCTACTGACACGTGCTCTCAACCTTCTCCCAGACACCACTCAAGAGTTTAAACTGGCTACTGCACTCTATGATACTTTAGCAGCATTTATAGAAGATCAGAATTCTTCCACGTAGTCTTTGGATTTTTGCGTATCTTTAAATGGGTAAGGATTATGAAATAAGATGCAGTATGCAAGTTGTGGCATTTTATTTATGAAGATTTTTCATCCACTAGGAACTTTTATCAATTCACGAGCTGATAGTTCCTAGTGGACTAAACATCTTCATAAATAGTGTAATAAACCACATGTTGTCCTACAAACTGTTGGTGTATTCTACCATTGTATTACCAAGGATATGAAGTACAATTTAGATTTGTTGTTCCTGACTTGAAATTTGTGATAAATTCTAATTCTTAGAAATAGCTTAAAAAATATGTTTTTGTAAAATTCTTTAATCTCTTTGCTTTTAGTAAACTGATAAGTTTTTGCAGATTCCACATACATTATATTAGTACTGTAATAATTTTTATTTTGAATCTCTCGATAGCTTGTCTAATGTATAGTAACTGTTCAAGTGAGGTGCCATAATGCTAGTGACTGGCTCCTGATTAAAGGAACTGAAACTACCCTCCCTGTCCTTAGGTCAAACCTGTTTACTTCTCATTCCCTAGGTTGTGTATAACCCTTATGTGTTTAGCACTTCCACATGAATACAATAATATTGTATCTGTTGCAGAACTCTGTGATAAAAATATGGAGGTCACGAAGTTAACGAGGCAGGAGTGTTGTGTGAAATACTACTTGCGAGGTGGTACTTCTTGTGACACACGAGATCTCCAGTAGCATAGGATAGTTTTGCAGATGTGTTGCCTATTTTACAAGGTTAATTTTTTTATTGCATTCACTGAGGACTTGAAACCATGGAAGACAGTGTAGCTGTTCAGCTTCTATAATTTTTGCTGCCTATGGGTTACAAGAATTTTTTTTAAATGTTATATGTTATTTCCTTTTATACTGGTTCTTAAGGGCTTTCATGGAGATTACAAATCAAAACATTATAAACTTTTAACATAAAAAGGGTAAACAAAAGTATGAAAAAAATCAAATGTCAGAATTCTAAAGAAAAAAATTCCCTTCAAAGGGCATAGATAAATCTGCTGTATAGTGCTGTATAGCCCTTGTGGCTTAGCGCTTCTTTTTGATTATAATAATAATAATGATGTATGTAGTTTCTGGATTCATTGCCAGAGATCTAATTTATGATAATGCCTATATCACTTATTAAGAAATCTTTGTCGAAAAGCATTTATTGGTCCATTTTGAAGGGTTAACACCCAGTTCTTGTTGGTTTCCACATCATGCATTTCCATTAAAAACCACTTGTCTCTACTCATTCCTGTCTTAAAACATACACAAGCCTGCTGGATGCTCAAGCCCCTGACACTGAAAAAACTGTACCCTTCTTCCACCCATTCTTGGGGTGACATACCTTAACCCCTAGATTTATTCATGCTCTGTCATTTTTATCTCCTTATCCACTAGATTCCCAAACCACCTCAATAATCCCTCCTTGCATCTCACCTTTATTCCAGTCTACATAATTCTTTAATTTATACTCCAATAATCCCACTTTCCATAGTTGATCATTTAATAGTACTGCTATGCCCTTATCTCTGATTCTTTTGGATACACCCCATGTAATTTGGGTACACCCCATGTAATTCCATTAATTTCTCTCCACTGAAATTCTCCTGCCTCTTTCAGCTTTGTTTCAGCTTCTATTTTCATAGCATTTATAATAAATTCTTATCTCTATGACTACACCCACTCTGTCAAGCAGCCTAATTTAAAAAAAAACTTTTTATAATATATTTAACACACACACACACATTTTTTTCATTGTGGATTTTTAGCATATATTAATACATACATATAGTAAATATTCACCATATGTTGTGAAAATTAATAAAAAAAAAATTATGGGTTACATCGTTAATACATCGTCCATTTCCCACTAAGGCAGGGTTACCCAAAAAAGAAAACTCTCATCATTCACTCCATTACTGTCTTGCTAGAGGCATGCCTACACTATAGTTAAAAAACTGCAACATATTAACACCCCACTCCTTCAGAGCACAGGCACTGTACTTCCCACCTCCAGGATTCATATCTGGCTAACCATTTTCTTGAATACCTTCATAAATGTTGCTTTGCTAACACTCCAACAGCACATCAAGTCATAAAAACCATTTGTCTCCACTCACTCCTATCTAACACACTCATGCACACTTGCTGGAAATCCAAGCCCCTCACACATAGAAACACCTTTACCCCTCCCTCCAACCTTTCCTAGGATGACCTGTACCCTACCTTCTTTCCACTACAGATTTATGTGCCATCTAAGTCATTCTATTTTGTTCCAGCCTCTCTAAATGTCTAAACCACCTCAACAATGCCTCCTTTGCCCTCTGGATAATATTTTTAGAATCCCCGCACCTCCTCCTAATCTTCAAGCTAGAGATTCTCTGCATTATGTTCACACTGCTTAGACGCTACATCTCCTCTTCCTCCAGCTTTCTTGTTGCAACATTTGCCACCCATGCTGCACACTCTTCTTCTTTCAACAAACCAGCCGTATCCCACCGAGGCAGGGTGGCCCAAAAAGAAAAACAGAAGTATGCTGCACACTCTTATAACAATATTAATATAGATTATGTTTACATTACTGATAACACTATTGTGCTCAGCTCTCAGACCAGGTAGCTAGCCAGTCTTAACACTAGGAGGCCACTGCACTATCCACTACTATGCTGGTCTAACAAGATTCATCCAACTAGGTATATTTTTATACCTTAGGAAGGTTAGCTGGGGGCTCCCTGTGATCACAATGTCAGAATCTTTGCAGACTAATCTCCTGCACTAATTTGTCTACGAAAACCTTGCACTAGGAGGCCACACTTTCTCACCTAGTGCATAGAAATATACTAGTTGGATGACTTGCTAGATTTGTATGGTACAGTGGTTAGTGCAGTTTTAGAACTGCCTTGCCATGGGTTTGAATTCCAGCTGTTCTGATACATCATGTCATGTTGCAGTCCTGTATTTAGTGCCAGTTATAAAGAATAATAGTAAATATCATGTGTAAGCAAAAGACTTCCTTGTGCATGTTTAAATGATTAAAACCTGTAAACTGTTGCTTCAGTGTAAGGTTTTTTATGGTTTTATAAATGGTTGTGGAAACAGCTTGCATTGCTCTCAAACCATTTGCAGTCTTGAGAATTTAGCAGATACTTGAAGGACAAATGACTGCCCTCTTCATTTTTACATTTAATGTGAGTAGCATAGAACATATTTACAGTAATTTATGTAGATGAGTAATGAGAGCCTATTTATTTTGGGGAGCTAGACTAATAGACAGTTCAGGTATATATATTTTGCTGTTTCTGGTCACTTTAAACTTCACTCTGTCTTTAATATTAGTGAATTATGTTACATAAATAACAAAATGTCCCATGCATGTGTACTGGCTACTAGTTGGTGCATCACAAAACAGACAATATCTGTCAAGACAAAGTTCATAACTCTGATTTAAAATCTCCCATAATATTACGAATAGGAGATCTTTTTTAAAAAGGTTTAGGATTACCCCGGGTTACGTTTTCTTCTCAAGGAGAAAAAGGAGGGGGGTCTCCTTTTATCATAATACAGTTATTGAAACAAATTCCTTGATGTTTCGTTTATATCAATCTTAATCAAAAGGGGTAAATCAAGACAAAGCTGTCTATACTATGTTAACTTCAATGAACATATTTATCTTCATTCAGAATATACAATAAAAGGTATATTCAAATTCTTATGATTTGGGCCCATTAAATACTAAGCAATTTCAATGCTTAAATATACCAAGTTGATAATCTTTGTACATACTATTTAAATTACTATATATATACTTCCTTACAGCTCAGATAGAGGTGCCACTTTTCCAATAACCAAGAAAGCACCAATTTCCCAAGCTCGTCCTTGCAAACACTGTAAAATAATCCTCGAATAGATGAGTTGGTCTGTTTCCCCATTCACAGGGTAGACGAGGAAGAGCCAAAGCTAAGTAGGACTGTTCTCAGAGCTTGCCCGAGAGAGACTGCCGGGAACAAGCCTCGTGAATGACAGGTAAACAGAAGGCGCCAAATCATGACGTCATAAACAACCCAACTCTTGGACAAAGTCGAGCTTGTTATACTTAACCGTACATCTATATAAATATGAAGGATAAACTGTTTAATACAAAGACGATCCAGCAGCTTGGGTTTTTAGCTATTACCGAAGCAGCTAACAAGGTAGTATTACCTGGATGATAAAAGCAAAGAAATATTACGATACATCGTAACACCCCCACCCTCCAAGAGTGGGATCGGTAATTAAGTTCTTGTCATGAGAAGCCCTTTTGGAGTGCCTGGAGATGAAGTAACTGCAGAACTTCACACAGAAACTCTTCATCCTCGCTCGCATGTCCCGAAGACCTCGTAAAGATATTTTCGTCTCGCTCCATCTGGACAAAAATAGAACATTATTAATAACACAAGAACAAAAAAGAAGCATCTTAAGAGCGGGACAGCGTCAGCCAGTACATTATCGGGACCTTTCATATGTGAAATTTCGAAAGCATAGGGTTGAATTCTAAGTGCCCATCTTAATATCCTGAGATTTTTTTGATTTCATGGTGTTAATAAATGTAAGGGGGTTATGGTCAGAATATACAGAAATTTTATGGGGTGAAGAGCTCAGGTACAAGTCAAAATGTTCTAAAGCCACCACAAGGGCTAAAACCTCTTTCTCACATAGAATAATTAAGTTGATGGGGGCGTAGTTTAGAGGAAAAATAGCAAATAGGGTGAAGAAATGTCATTATTGGTGGAATTTGAAGTAACACGGCTCCTAGAGCATAACTGCTAGCATCGATGTGTAAGGGAAATGGTTTTCTCAAAGTGGGACTTTGTAGGATAGGAGCCGAGGAGTGAAGACGCTTCAGTCTTCGAAAAGCTTCTTCACAATCTTGGGTCCACTTAAACTTCACTCTTGAACTAGTAAGTTCTGTCAGAGGGGCAGTGACCTGGGCATAATTGGGACAATCTCCTGTAGTATCCTGTCATTCCTAAAAAACGTTGAATTCCTTTCCGGTCCGAGGGAGAAGGAAAATCCGAGATGGCTTGGATTTTCGCTTGAATCGGGGCCACTGTGCCTTGTCCTATTTCAAACCCTAGATAACGTACCTTGGCCTGACCAAAAACACATTTGGCTAGATTGATGGCGAAATTATGACTTTATAAAGCCTTTAAAAGTTCTTCCAGTCTAACTAAATGATCAAGCCAACTATCGCTAAAAGCAACCAAGTCATCTAAGTATACGGCCACTCCTTGTAAAGGAAAAGTGAGCTCATTCATAAGACGCTGGAAAGTTGCAGCTGCATTGCATAATCCGAAGGGTGTAACTGTATAATTGAATAACCCATCTTTCACAATGAAGACTGAAATGTCTCTAGCTCTTGGCGAGAGGGGTACTTGGTAATATCTTCGTAATAAATCTAGTTTGTTGACAAATTTGGCTGTAGAGACTGTGTCGATTAGGTCGTCAATGGGAGGTAATGGGTAACTATCGAGACGAGTGACGGCATTTATTTTTCGGTAATCCGTACACATCCGATGACTGCCGTCCAGTTTGGGGACTAATATACAATGGGATGCCCAAGGACTCTTGCTCTTTTCAATCAGTCCATGCTCCAGCAGGAGAGATATTTCATCTCTCATTACATGTATTTGGTGTTTCGCTGGACTAACTCTGTAGGGGGGTTGTTTAATTGGCCGAGTCTCCCCGACATCCACGTCATGTTCTCCTAATGTACACTTCTTGGGTACGTCCTCAAACAAAGAACTATATTTCCTTATTGGTTCTTTAACTTGCATTTTCTTTTCCGGCCCTAGATTGTCTAAGAATTGGTCGAGATTTTCTAATGTTTCCGAATTCTTGAGACTGATCTCCTTTTCTCTGGTGACTTCTTCGTATATGGGTTTCGTGTCTCTGGGTGATGTTGAAATTGGCATAACCAGAAAGCTTCCTCTGTATGCCTTCAGCTGGTTAATATGAAATCTTTCGAGTGATTTTTCTTTTGCCAGGGATCCGAATTACGTAGTTGACATCGTTCTCTTTCTTCAATACCTCATATGGACCTAAATAACGGGGTAATAACGAATGTCCAGGAGTCAATCTTTGTATCAACACTAGGTCTTTAGGTTCAAATGATCGAGGCTTTGAGCGTTGATCTTATAAATGTTTCATTTTGACTTGAGCCTCCCTAGATTTTTAATGGCAAATTCCCTAAGGGGGCTAACCGCTCTCTCATTTCCACTATGGATGCTTTAATGTAGGCTCAGTCTGTCCTGTCCCAGGTATCTCGTAGTACTGCCATCGGCTGCGAACCTCGTGTCCATAATAATTTTGAAAGGAGAAAAACCGGTACTCTCCTGCTCGCTTTCTCTAATGGCAAATAATAAGAAGGGTATACCTTCATCCCAACTTTTGTGGTCTGTTCACAGCAGGCACGTAACATTGGATTCAAGGTCTGGTGAAACCTTTCCAGCGCCCCTTGAGACTGTGGGCGATAACTCGTGGAGTACAAACCCAGTCACTCCTAGACCAGACAAGGCTTCTTTAAATATTTTGATGTGAAATTGCTACCCTGGTCCGACTGGACTCCCCGGGGAATGCCCACCTGGCAAAGAACTTTACTAGGGATCGAACCAACACTCGGGCTGTGATTTTTCGCAGAGGGATAGCCTCGGGATACCGGGTGACTGTATCCATTATTGTGAAAAGATATTGGTTGCCTTGTCTAGTCTTGGGCAAAGGGCCCACACTCTATTATGAGGCGGGAAAATGGTTCCCCAGACACAGGAATCAGGATTAAAGGAACGGGCCTGGAGACATGGGCGGTTTTACCGGCCACTTGACATACATGACACTCTTGCCACATACTTTACTATGGTGTCATACATTTTTGGTCAAAAAAAGTATTTCTTGATTATTCCCAAAGTCTTTTTAATGCCTAGGTGCCCACCTTGGGTACTGCCATGGGCAAATTCAAGAACTAGGTCATGGAATGCTTTAGGCAACACAAGTAGGTCTCTGTGTAAATTCAATCTCTTGATGACCACTTTCTTTTTTAGGATACCTGAACTGTCCGCAAAATAACAGTTTTCTTTTACCTTAATCAGTTCCTCGGGTACTGCCATTCTTCTACAAGTTTCTAACTCAGGACCATCCATTTGTGCCTGGATCAAGTCCTCTTTTCCCCAGTTTCTGGCCTGAGGAAAATTTATATTAGGTACTTTCGTGATAGAATACGGCTTGGAGGTGTCAGGTTGATTCATATCACTAAATAATAATCCTATCCCCATATCATTTCTATTGGGTGAAGGGGTAACCCTCTCTGAAGGAGACATCTCCCGTGTTATCACATTAAGAGGGAATAAGGACGTTCCTTGCTTGGAAACTTCTAGAGCATAATTATCGTCTGAAGTGTTAAGGAACACTATGGGTTTGGGACATATCCCTTTATGAAATATATCATTTCCTATTAATAAATCTACACCCTCAATGGGAAAGGGCCCTGAGGATAATCCCACTGTGATCCATCCATTATAATAAGAAATTTTCAAAAAGACTCTACACAAAGGAGCTTTGATTAGAGCACCTCCATAGGCTTCTAACAGAACTTCCAACTGGGAAACATCATTCTCACTTGTAGGTAACACTCCCTTTCTCAGTAACGTGATGTAAGAACCGGTGTCCCGAAATGTGTTAATGTCCACGAACCTTTTCTGATCTAACCCAACTTGATCTTTTGAATAATAAGGAGCCATTGCCTTCTTCATGAGATTCGCCGGAGTTCCGATATCTAGTCATCAGCGCAGGTGATTCTTGGAAGGAGGAGAAGTCAACCTCACCTCACTAGATTTTTGGCTATCACCAGTCGAGTGAGTAATCATTTGAGTGGGATATGTTCTTCCATAGTCCTTCTGGTCTTTATTCCTCTTAAAACACTGGTTCTGCAGATGCCCGATCTTCTTACAATATTGACAATATGGATCTTGGTTCCATCTACTAGTAGCTTTTGGAGCTTCATCCCTGCCCCGACTTGGTAATTTTTCCCCCATGAGGGATTGAGACTTTCTCACCAAGGGGAAGGTCAGAGTATTCTTCCTCCGATCATCTGGTTTTCGTTGGGGAGGCGTCAACTTACTCAGAATCTTGGAATCGGTCAAACGTAACGTTACATCATAACGATCGGCTAGAGAGGCTGTTTCGGTCACCGTAGAAGTAGAATGTCCGATTAGGTACGAGTGTAGCCTCTTCGGTACATGGTTGAAGAAGTCTTCATGTAAGATCATTCGAGTCAGATCCTCCACCGTAGTACACTGAATGGCCCTCTTCCATCTGTGGAATGCCGTTTGCTTCTCCCTCGCAAACTCAAGCCAGGATTGATGGGGTTGTCATGTTAAACTCCGGAAAATTTTCTGATAAGTAGCCGGCAACAATTCATAAGAGTCTAACACGGTTTTTTTCACGATGTCATAATTGGAGTATTGATCAGAAGGTAACCTAGCCGTACAGTTTTGAGCTTTCCCCGTAAGGACTGTATGTAATAAGGCAGCCCAGTGTTCCTTGGGCCAATGCATCATGCGTGCTTGGTTTTCGAATGCTTCGAAGAAAGAGTTGGGGCTAGTATCGCTGAACTTGGGAACCAAATGAGTAGCGCAGTGTAGGTCAAAGTGGTCGGGAATACCTTTACCTCGACCGCCTAATTTTTCTCATTAACTGTCTCTCATAACGAATCGACTCTTTCGAAGTCCTCCTGATTCAACTTTCGTTCAGCTCAAGCTGGTTAGCTTGAAGATGGAGAATGCGCTCTATCCATTCACATTGCTCTGAGGATAGTGTTTCAAGGAAAGATTTTGTCAGTCGCGGATTGCTGTTTGTAGGTCCGGGTTGGTCGGATTCAGTCAGTCTGGAGAACATCGTAAGGGCTGGAGATATAGGGTCGGCTATAAGTGCCACCTCGATCTCTTTCTGACTAACCCTTGGTATCTCCTCTGGAGGTCATGCTGTATTGGATTCCCTCCCTTTCTGAGGTATACTACTTAACTGGGAAATCAGGCTATCAGATTCTTTTATTTTGTCTACAGATTCATCCTGATCATCGGGAAACAATAAGTTTCGTATAATGGAGTGCACAGTGTTTGCAGTATAGTGTGTCTCGTATGGTACCCCTAAAACTCTAGCGATTTGCCAACATGTTTGTAATTTCAATGTGGCCAGGCGGCTCTGAGAAGTAATGTCATCGAATAAGGATTTTAACTCTTCCATATTTTATGATAGTTCAATAATGGGCCAAACTAGATCTCCCTGACACAGGCCCCCATCTATTACGAATAGGAGATCTTTTTTAAAAAGGTTTAGGATTACCCCGGGTTACGTTTTCTCCTCGAGGAGAAAAAGGAGGGGGGTCTCCTTTTATCATAATACAGTTATTGAAACAAATTCCTTGATGTTTCATTTATATCAATCTTAATCAAAAGGGGTAAATCAAGACAAAGCTGTCTATACTATGTTAACTTTAATGAACATACTTATCTTCATTCAGAATATACAATAAAAGGTATATTCAAATTCTTATGATTTGGGCCCATTAAATACTAAGCAATTTCAATGCTTAAATATACCAAGTTGATAATCTTTGTACATACTATTTAAATTACTATATATATACTTCCTTACAGCTCAGATAGAGGTGCCACTTTTCCAATAACCAAGAAAACACCAATTTCCCAAGCTCGTCCTTGCAAACACTGTAAAATAATCTTCGAATAGATGAGTTGGTCTGTTTCCCCATTCACAGGGTAGACGAGGAAGAGCCAAAGCTAAGTAGGACTGTTCTCAGAGCTTGCTCGAGAGAGACTGCCGGGAACAGGTAAAGAGAAGGCGCCAAATCATGATGTCATAAACAACCCAACTCTTGGACAAAGTCGAGCTTGTTGTACTTAACCATACATATATACACAAATGATGAAGGACGACTGATAATACTATGACGATCCAGCGGCTTCGGTTTAGCTATTACCGAAGCAGCTAGCGAGGTAGTATTACTGGATGATAAAAGCAAAGAAATATTACGATACATTGTAACACAAGTAGAGATACCTCAGGTGATCGTTCATTCTAAGTTTCCTAACACTAACATTATTAGGCATTTGGTATGTACGAATTTTGTTTCATACATAATCTCTCTTTGTGCATTATGACCGTCAGGGGGAATGTCTGTTTTAGTTTAAATCTTTATAAAATGATTGTGATACACAGAAAATGATGGCTCACTGACTCTGCCCAGTACCAGATTAGGCTCATTGTCATTGTAGAGTTGAAAAGCTAAATTAGAAGACTTTGATAGATAACATTTTACTGTGAGGAAACCACAGTTTTTGTGCCCAAATATTCTCTGCTTGGTGTTTAAACACTATCAGCACAACATATAAGAATAAAAAGTTACTATACTGTGGCTGGTACAGCTCATAAATAACTCACACTTTGAAAACTTTTGTCATTTGGGACCATTATTAAATTTCATCTACCACTCGCTTTTCCCATCCGTCCTAATGACCTGTCTTCCAGTCTTCTCTGTTGTTTCTCACTCAGTTGGGACTTGACAGTCCATGATTTACCAAATTGTCATAGGTTTCCTCTCCCAAGTGCAGGTTGTTTGTCAACATGGAATATTCTGTATTGGTATTGAGAGCTTGCCTAATAAATTCTTATCTGTACTACAACTACTACACCCACTTGCAGTCAAACAGATTAATTTTAAGAAAACTTTTTAGTAATCTATATTTAATTAACACATTCATGTACACTTCTTCATTGTGAATTATTTCATTAAGAGTTGTTGCTAGATTACTCATTATTCAAGGTAAATAAATACTGTACTGTATTATGCATTTTGATTGGATCATACAATGTCTGGGTTAAGCATGCCCATGTGAATATGATGATGTACCATCATTAATACATTAATTTTTTTTTTAATGTTCAGTAATTTGTAACATTATGTATATTTCTTTAAGCTGGCAAAATGACTAAATATTTCATCCAGTAAACTCTAAGATGATGGTATTATTTTAGTCAACATTGAACAGTATAAAACAACCTATTTGGAGACAAAAATACAGGGTGATGTAGAAACTATCTTGTCCTGCAAGTGCTATTTTCAGCAGCTCTTCCCATCAAGGGACACCCTTGATGCCAGTGAAGGACCTTTGCTCTAGGTAATTTGGGCTAATGCCCTTTTTTCTTGGATCAAATCCAATTACTTTAATTTCCCAGGTCCTGTATGACTCAGGTTTCAGCACTTGCCTCTTAAAATAAACGAAATGCAACAGTCTTCTTTTACCCTGAGTTTCAGCCATCTCCATGCTAGTTGTATAACTTAAATATTAATACATTAATATGATTTAGAGTGGTATATGTATATTCTGTACATTAAGTGAGCAGACAAGTATAATACTAATGGTATATAATACAAAAAAGTTTGCATCCTCATTGAGCAGACAAATGTTTTTATTTTTTTTTTTTAATTTTTAATGTTAATTTCATAATAAACACTTACATGAAGAAACTATCTGAGGTATGAGTCTACCATTAAAAAGCTCAAGTGCCTGTATTAAGGAAAATTAGAAGCTTGATTTTTAAAAACTGCACAATGTCATTTCCAACTATGTACATTAATATCAAATTGACATTATGTAATTTTAATAGTACAGTATGAAAAATTAATTAAAAGCACAGTATATGTGAAAAAGAATAAGCGTAACATTTTGTAAAAATTAATTCTTGCAACTTTGTACATGAAATAATAAAAATTAATTTTACAAACACTTTCTTTAGATTGTAGGAGGGTGCACCTTTATGCTAATAAAGGGATCTTGATTCAGGGAATGGAGCTATCATCCTCATCCTCTGATCAAACCTGATTACTGTACCTGCTATACCCCCAAGAACTGTATGACGCCCTACTGGTACAGCACTACGCAATGCTTTTAATATTTTTTTTTAACTCGATAGCCACCACCCACCAAGGCAAACATCATAATTATAGTTTATTAAAGTCAGTACCGCGCTATTATTTTAGCATTCCTTACAGTCTTTGGCATTTTTTGCTGTATATAAATAAACACTTCTCCCAGCAAAGTTTATGCCTGTGATTTGTGTACAGAATTCTACAGTTGCAGTCGTCTTGGTCATCCAGGCTGTTGCTGCCAACAGTGTACAGACGTACTTTGTCACAAGTGACTAGCTCAATTACATTATACACTAACATCCATATAACTTCTTAGGACATGAAATATTGTTGCACACTATAAATTTTCATGTTTAAAGTACTGGGGTCTTGTCTGTTCGAAAAGTCTCGTTTTTCATGCACAGTACCCTTAAGGTTTTTGTGGTTTCCACTGTCTGTTGTGTAGGTGCACTAAGTATCTGGAATCGTGAATATAATTATTTTTTATCTGCCATTCACCAAACAGTTTATATTCTTTTATGTTAACTATATTGTGCATTATGTTTCTTTGCTAATAACTAAATAAAAATTTAATATGTATCTATGCCATGCTGTATGGTCATTGCAGATTTAGCCCTAATTTTGGAATATAAGAGTAATTAATATGTTCCACAATAGACATGTAAATGACAAAGTATCACTAATTTATTTTGTAAATAAAACCACAAATTATAATGTGGTTGAGGGCCATAAATCTTTGATATAGAGGATTTTATCTCTTATTTCATTATAACACTTAGGTTGGCATTCATTAATGTCTTTTATTATTAGACATTTTTATTTTAATTTGAGTTTAGCACTTAGTTCTGATTATAATATAATGATTGTGTATCATTTAAAGTTATAACGGAAGTAATAAGGTTATCTCGTGTCAAACTGACTATAGTAATACAAAATACAAATTTTAAAAGTTACCCGCATTAAAATTTTAAGCTTTATATTTGTTATTTCTCCCCATTTGTACATTGATTATTTATCTTGTTCTAGCAAATTACTACACTCATTACCTCGTTTGTGAAGGACACAGTCAGGCTCAATAGTTGCATAAAGCATCCAGTTACTTTTTTTTTTAGCAAGTCGGCCGTCTCCCACCGAGGCAGGGTGACCCAAAAAGAAAGAAAATCCCCTAAAAGAAAATACTTTAATCATTCAACACTTTCACCTCACTCGCACATAATCATGTCTGTGTATAAAATCAGTACATGTATATTATTATTATTATACATGGGAGACAGCCAGTGTTCAAAAAAATGTATATATTGCACTGTATATAATACATACACATGGTATGCTGGAAAACCAACTTTTCTCATAATTAATGAGATGTTAAATTAACTGCTTGAAACTTTAAAAAACTCTGGCAAACCTTTTTTTTTTTTTTTTTTCCCCAGATGCCAAACGACATTTACAAAATTAGTCATTGTTGCTTTCACTGGTTCACTTAAATTATGCCTTGGCTATCTCCAACTCAATGAATGACTGTCTTAAAAATCTTTTTGGAACACTCCAGTTTTCCAGACACTCACAGACCGCAATATATTGTTAATTTTAGAGGATATAGACACTTGTATAATGCTAGTATTGTTATGTGGTCAAGGTTGATAATGTGATCATGGGTTTTATTCTATGATGGAAGTTTTTTACCTCATGGAAGGTTCCTTCATGCTAGTTACAGGGAAGGTGGGTGCTCCAAGGAATTGATCCTGATCCCCTCTTCCTTGGAATTGACCTGGTTGCCTCCCAGTCCCCATTAGGCACTGTTTAACCCAATGGGCCTTGAGCTACCCTCATGAATGTAATAAAAATAATAATGGAAGCTTTAATTATTGTAATCCTGTTATAATTTTTTAAATATCTTGAAGTAATAAAAATGTAGTATTTATATTCAGTGTTTTTTCTTTTTTTTACCATGTGTGGATTTTGGTGGATGTATTTTTATAATGAACTGTTGATACATTAAAGCATTGGTGAAGGATACATAGGGCAGTGTGTTGTGGTGGAAGAAGAAAGAGTGGGTGGTTAGTGGTGAGGAGATCAAATAGTCTTTAATGGTGGTAGTGGCACAGAGGTTCCTTCATGCAGGGTTCCTAGATACCTATGGTAAGGGCTCTTGATCCAAATAATTGGAGCTACCTTTCTACCACTGGATTAAACCTAATTGCCTCCCATTTCCTAGGTGTTGTATGACCCACCTTGGTCAAGTATTCCCATGAATATATTTTAATATGCATCAAGTTTAGATGCTTCACTCATTCATTTAATGTAACCTCTTCCATATTCCTCCCCTTGTTAAAAATAACAGGACCTCCCTTTCCTCTTCAAGGAAGGTGGTGCCTTAACACCAGTATAATGCACTTCATCCAAGGATTTAAGCTAGCAGCTTCTTCTTAGGATCAAACCTTATTTCCTCCCAATTCTGAGGCTCTGACACCTACAAGTGTGACACTTTCCCATTAAAATGAGAATATACAACCCCCATTCGATAATATATACACCAAGAGGAGCACACATTTCTCTTGGCCATTATTTGTTATGTCTTCTATAATCCCAATTTTAGTGATTAAAGTATTTTTTGTCTCATGGTGAAGAGGTTACATGCAGCCTTAGTGACCCTAGTGTAGTCCATAGACTTTAAACCTTATTAACCAGCGAACAACCCTCATTCATATATATAATGGATGTCACGAAAATAACGAACTTTAATATCCCTGTGAATGAAGAAGCTGATTCAGACTTTTTATTGATATTCTTAACAATTTCATGATGACTTGAAAATGAACTATGTTGCAGGTTGCTGCAAGACTCGAGAAAGGTAGCCCTCGTATCTTATAACCTTGGCTTCCTCTGCCTCGTTAAGATTTCAATGGAGGTTCTCTGATGCTGGTGAGCAGCTCTTGATCCAGGGAACTGGAACTGTGTTCCAGTTCCCTGAATAGAGGCTGAATGTCTTTCCGTCCCTTCCCCCCCCCCCCCCCACAGGTGCTGTTTAATTAATCCCTACGGGTTTAGCACTCCTCCATATAATAACCTCGAGAAGGGTTAGCCACCCAGGATAACAATGAAGTCTGCCTCATTTAGGACTCTTATTTCCAACCCCTCCAGGATGCAACACACACCAGTCAATGTCCAAGTACGTACTTACTGCTAGGTGAAGGGAGAGCAGGTGTAAGGAAACACGGCCAGCATTTCCACCCATGCCAGGGACTGAACCACGGAGACTCAGTGTGTGAGGCGAGTGCATTGCCAACCGGGCCACAGGATGCCCAAGAGGCATTGTAGGTGTACCTCAAAATCCTTGAGAGGAAGAGTAGCTGTAGGTTGATGAGTCATCCCCCTCAAGTGACCTGGGAGGTCGATCCTTCAAACAGTTCCAAAATGTGTAAATAACATGTTCAAGAACCATCTCTGGCTCTTACTACTTTCCTGAAAAAAAAAAAAAAAAAACTTTTAGAGGACTGTAGAGAATTAAAAATAGATGAATGCAAAAACTGGAACAAATGAGTTAAACTATGACTTTGAAGTTCAACAAAGTTAGGTTAGTACACAATATATTTCTAATAAACATCATGTATTACTTTTATGAATTTTAAATTAGAAGAATCTTATATTTCAAGGGTCATAGTTGTTAGTCCAGGAAGCAGATCAGAGATTTGTATGGGGGGTTGGGGGTGGCAAAACCCACAGGAGGAAAATCAAGTTTGATCCAAGGGAGGAATAGTTCGTTATTTGATCTTCAGGAACCTCCCTAGAGAGGTTTAAAGAAAAGTTGCAAAATATTGAAAATTAATTTTTTTTTTTTTTTTTTTTTATGAGATTTTGAAGTTTGACAAATTTACAACTATCTTTAAACCAAGTTAAAAACTTTATTTATCCCAATCAAAGGAAAACTTTAAACTCACAAGGGTCACATAGTGCCTGGGAGGCACTATGTGACCCTTGTGACTCCAGTTCCTTGGATCAAGAACCCTCACTGGCATCAAGGTACCTCCTGGAAGGGACAAGAAACATGGATACATGCACAGTGAACTGCCTTGATTTTGCTGATATTGCATAAATATTTTTCAGTGTTAGACCGAGTTGAGTTCTAGCTCCTGGTCCATCTTATGAATGCTAATCAACAGCTTCTGGGTCTTCTGAGTGTGCTACATTGCAGATGCTAGTCAGGAGTGTGTTAGGCTAAATCTTCTGGGCCTCCTTGAAGGCGTATCTTGTGGGAGGGTTGAGCTCTACCTCCTGGGTCTCTTGAGGAAGTTGAGCTGCAGTTCCTGTACCTCTCGAGGGTTACGAGATAGAAGCACTATGCCTCTTACACATACAAAGGTAGGGGGGGCTGAGCTCATTGGATACAAGGATACCATTCTAGGATCGTGCAGCAACCAATATCCATCAAGTCATTTGCAATTTTTTCCTGGTATTTTTTTTTTAATCCTAGATCTTTTAGACCAGTCACGAGAGCTCAATTAACTCTCACCTGTGTTGTTATTATCTCTGCTGTGTATTTAACATTCCAAGGGTTAATGAAAAGTATCAGTAAAGAAACTTAGTTGTTGCACGAGATACTTCGCCAACTGGTGACCTTTTTCCAACCCAATACAAAGAACATTTACTGGAGAAAGAAGTGGAAAGGTTATTTTGTGGTTCTCAGTTCTTTATGAAGGCCAGAGTGTATTCACCTAGTTGAGGTTGCAGGGGGTCGAGTCCAAGCTCCTGGCCCTGCCTCTTCACTGGTCGCTACTGGATCACTGTCCCTGAACCGTGAGCTTCATTATACCTCTGCTTGAAGCTATGTATGGATCCTGCCTCCACTACATCGTTTCCCAAACTATTCCACTTACTGACTACTCTGTGGCTGAAGAAATACTTCCTAACATCCCTGTGATTCATCTGTGTCTTCAACTTCCAACTGTGTCCCCTTGTTACTGTGTCCCATCTCAGGAACATCCTGTCTTTGTCCACCTTGTCAATTCCTCTCAGTATTTTGTATGTCGTCATCATGTCCCCCCTATCTCTCCTGTCCTCCAGTGTCGTCAGGTTGATTTCCCTTAACCTCTCCTCGTAGGACATACCTCTTAGCTCTGGGACTAGTCTTGTTGCAAACCTTTGCACTTTCTCTAGTTTCTTCACGTGCTTGGCTAGGTGTGGGTTCCAAACTGGTGCCGCATACTCCAATATGGGCCTAACGTACACGGTGTACAGGGTCCTGAATGATTCCTTGTGTGTGTGTGTGTGTGTGTGTGTGTGTGTGTGTGTGTGTGTGTGTGTGTGTGTGTGTGTGTACTAACCTATTTGTGGTTGCAGGGGTCGATTCATAGCTCCTGGCCCCGTCTCTTCACTGGTTGCTACTAGGTCCTCTCTCTCCCTGCTCCATGAGCTTTATCAAACCACGTCTTAAAACTATGTATGGTTCCCGCCTCCACTACGTCACTTTCTAGGCTATTCCACAGTCAGGTGTGGCACATGTGCCTTATTCATCAACTTGTCAGTAGTTTATACCTTTAATGATACATTCCATAGACTCGGAAAAGATATTACGACACCTTCCAGCGTCCTTCTATGTGAACTTTAAACCGCACTTTCTCCAGACACATAAATGTTATGTTCATTTTACGATATTTCCAGCTTGCCTTCCCTCTCTAGGTGGGGATGTTATGCCCTGAGGGGCTATAATCAAAATGTGTTTAGCTCTTAAGATAAGATTTCGTTCGGATTTTTAACCTCAGGGGGTTAGCCACCCAGGATAACCCAAGAAAGTCAGTGCGTCATCGAGGACTGTAACTTATTTCCATTGTGGTCAACAATCTTGTCCCCCAGGATGCGACCCACACCAGTCGACTAACACCCAGGTACCTATTTGCTGCTAGGTGAACATGACAACAGGTGTAAGGAAACACGTCGAAATGTTTCCACCCGTCGGGAATCGAACCCGGGCCCTCCGTGTGTGCAGCGAGAGCTTTAGCCACCAGGCCACCGGGGCACCTCCCCTCCCCTCCATTGTCCTGTCACTCCGGCAGACGGTCCACATCTTGCCTGACCTTTCATTTTTAAGCACAACGGCTGTCTTCCACCGAGGAAGAGTGTCACGAGAAAGAGGGAACACATTCACCATCATTCATTCAGTCACTGTCTTGCCAGAAGTGAGCTGACGTCTCAGTTCAGATGGCCCCTCTCAACCAATGGCGGACATTTCTGGGGCCCTGAAGCTTCAACTGTTTTGAGGGCCCTTTCGCAACCCCTTCTATAACCAAAAAATTTTAAATAATATGGACTAAAGGCGCTTCTGGGGCCCCTGCGGTATTAGGGGTCCCTGGAGCTTAAGCTTCATTAGTTTCATAGTGGACCCGCCCCTGGCTACCTGCTCCCAAATGCAACATCCTCACCTTTCCTACAGTGCGCTGATACAGTACTCTCCACCTCCAGGACTCAAGTCTGGCTAACCTGTTTCCTTGAATCTCTTCACTCCAGCAGCACGTCAAGTCATAAAACTATTTGCTTCCATTCCAGTTTAAAGCACTTACACAAGCTTGCTGCATGTTCAAGCCCATAGCATTCAAAACCTCCTTTACCCCCTGTGGCATGCAAAGAGTACGTAACCTTTATTCGGCGCGTGTACACACCCTTATTGACAGGCTATCTCCCCCAACCAGCGAACCAGGTACTAAGGGCTGACGATGGGGCCCCGTCGTTCAATCAGTACCCAGGTTCCAGCCAATGAGAAGATGGTTTTGGAAATCGCAGAGGTGATGTGGGTACCACTCACCTGTCTGCCCTTGTCATTCCCATTCTAGAGCTGGTTGAAGCACGGTCTGCTCTCTAGTGGCTTCTATTCTGCCTTCCTTACCGTGGAGTGCACTGATACCTATTGCTGTACATAGTGTATATAGTGTACATACTTCTGTTCTAAATTGGTGAAGGATAATACAAGTCAAAAACTTTTTCTGTGTTTATTTTGCTCCCTTTACACCCAGAATAAGAGGCCTTTGGGACTCCTGGGTTGTAATACCCCCTTCCACCAACTCCTCCTCCCCTCCACCCCAAATTTATATACCCTCCTAGACATCGGAGTCTATTACGGAACGGGTGAGACGAACTCATGGCAAGAGCCTTAAAACTCGAAGGGTCGTTTATAATCGTTTTGTTCGGCATTTTCCTACAGGTGTCAGCAGCTAAGAGACGACACAGTAAATGTCAGGGGCCCAAGACTTTTCAACTGCCTCTCAGCATATAAAAAGGGGATTACTAATATACCCCTGGCTGTCTTCAAGAAGGCGCAGGACAGACACCTAAAGTCAGTACCTGACCAGACCGGCTGTGGTTCATGTGTCGATTTGTGTGTGACCAACAGTAACAGCCTGGCTGATCATGATCATGGCTGGTCATGGACCGGACCGTGGGGTCGTTGACTCCCAAAACAGCCTGCAGGTAGACTCCAGCTCCTATTCCTCGGCCGGAATGCAAATTAAAATTTCCAATTTCTCTTATACTGTACAAAGATAATGTAATCTACACGTGGTAAATACCGTCACTAGTATGCAAATGAATTTCTGGCAAATTAATTTTAGTGCTTGAAGACTAAAAAATTAGGCATACGACTATTAAGTAGATTTTTTTATGACAAGATTTATACAGGAAGTATTGGCACTGGTATTAATTATGATTAATGTTAATATCTCTGCGATAAGTTAAAATCTGCGAACTTGTAATCATATACACTGTAATTAACAGTGTGTGTGTGTGTGTGTGTGTGTGTGTGTGTGTGTGTGTGTGTGTGTGTGTGTGTGTGTGTGTGTGTACTCATTTGCATTCGCCTATTTGTGGTTGCAGGGGTCGATTCATAGCTCCTGGCCCCGCCTCTTCACTGATTGCTACTAGGTCCTCTCTCTCCCTGCCCCATGAGCTTTATCATACCTCGTCTTAAAACTATGTATGGTTCCCGCCTCCACTACGTCACTTTCTAGGCTATTCCACGGCCTGACAACTCTCTGACTGAAGAAATACTTCCTAACATCCCTTTGACTCATCTGACTCTTCAACTTCCAATCGTGACCTCTTGTTTCTGTGTCTCCTCCCTGGAACATCCTGTCTTTGTCCACCTTGTCTATTCCACGCAGTATTTTATATGTCGTTATCATGTCTCCCCTGACCCTCCTGGCCTCCAGTCTCGTCAGGCCGATTTCCCTTAACCTTTCTTCATAGGACATTCCCCTTAGCTCTGGAACTAACCTTGTCGCAAACCTTTGCACTTTCTCTAATTTCTTGACGTGCTTGATCAAGTGCAGGTTCCAAACTGGTGCTGCATACTCCAGTATGGGCCTGACGTACACGTTGTAGTGTCTTGAACGATTCCTTACTAAGGTATCGGAACGCTGTTCTCAGGTTTGCCAGGCGCCCGTATGCTGCAACAGTTATCTGGTTGATGTGTGCCT